GTGGGGTAAATGAGTGTTGCATCCCCCCCCCCTCTTCCCCCCCTCCCCTCCCGCTTCCGCTCCCTCTTTTCCTCGGTTTTTATTTTTTCAAGACAAAGTTTGCCCCATCCTTCGCATCTCCTTCTACTCCACATGTTGTATATAAGTTGTACAGTAAAAATCCTAATGTTTAATGTATCAGCTTCTAAACAACAACTTATATTGTATTATCCTTGTTGGAAGCCCAAACGACTACAAACTAAACCAATAGAACGAGAGCAAAATAGAAATGGACAAAGTGTAAAATCCGTCTGTAAAGATACAAAGAAGGAGAGTTTATCGCTTCTTTTTCTCCTACTTTTTTTACTTTTGCGTTAATGTTCCACAAGCTCGCTTCGCTCCCTAGTGTCGCTCCTGAAAAGTGTCATTACTTTCGCTTTTATCTATTTGCTAAACTATTCTACTCAAAAACTAGATGTAGACGCGTGGAAATTCATTCATCGTAACCTCAACTCAAATGAGAGAGTCTACAACTAAGAGACGCAAGCTGCGTAAAGCAGAATTGAACAAGCTTAAACTAGTCTAAGAGTGAAGCAGTTTAGAACAATAAATCTATTATAGTAAAAACTCTCGTTACCAGTATGATGAATGATATCACTATGATATCTTTTAAAACAGTTGCTCAGACTAAAATGAATACTAAAGAAAAAGAAAAGAAAAATGCAAGTGTGCTGTTGCCCTAAGCTGAACACAAAAAAAAAACAGAAAAAAACAAGAAGGTGTGCGAGTCCAATATGCACACAAGGCACAACTTGGTAGCCAATTTATTGTTAATGCAGGTCACTCTTTAAATAATAATATCAAAGTAAGTGCACTACAAATGGATGCAAAAAAATAATAACTAACAACTGTTACCTACAGCAAAAGCTTTTCTTCCTTTCTATACCTAAAAGTATTCTTAGTAACTAAAACAGAAAAAAAGAACTCATACGGGTTTAGTATAGATAGCTGTGCGCAAAATATCAATGAATTGAAGGCGGACATGGGGGTGAAGATAGAAAGTGTGTGAGTGTGAGAGTGTGAATAAGTCACAGTGTTTACAATGTTTATCTTTCGTAAATACTCTTTCAATTCTTCATGGTTGAATACACAAGTACTTTTAACAATTCACATTGAGTTATACATCTTCTTTTACAAAAATACACGATCTTTTTTTTTATAATATTTGCGGTCTTGGTTTTGAGTTTGAACTCGGATTGGCTCGTCCTGAGTTAAAGTGTAATTTCTAAAATTTCACGTAACGAAAAGGATGAGGAGTTATGGATGAGAAAATGAAGGAGGCTGTGTTACACCAAAAATTAACTCAACGGTCCATAAAGGAAGCTTTCCTTTTTCTTTTTTTTTTTGACTTATTCCTTCTATAGTAGATGCTTATAGTATATACTTATAGTACTAATTTAAATTCTATAGGTCAATATTTACGATCTCTTTTTTCTCTATAGCTATGCAGTTTTATTGAACAACTTTACTTTAAATCTGTTTATTCTATTTTCACCTCCTTTAATTTATAAGAGCTTTTCATATTTATTTTTTTCGTAATCATATGTATTTTTTCTTAAAAAAAAAGGACGTTTCGCAGCCATTTTCTGAGAGCCCCTACTTCAGGCCATTTTTATCCGCTGTCAACTTGCAGTGTTGTGCTTAAGTTCTCTCGACATAGCACTTTCGTTAATATGGAATTTTTGGAAAGGGCATAATGATCATCTATGCCAGCAAACTCAACTCTAATCATAGCTACAAAAAGAACATTTTTAAGTATATTTGTAAGTGCTCCACTATCTCGCTCTCCTCGATAGTATATTTTATGATTGGAGAAGAAAGTTTGCATTTCTCATCTCTCATGAAGCAATTTTTTGCAAAATAAAGCAGTCAAACCGGTGTGCAAGGGCACACCAGGATCACATGTGATTTTCATTGAAGGCTACAAAGTAAAAGGAAAAGAAAAGTATTTTGTGCATGAGACAAATATTCTCTTTTGCATTTTGACATTAATATTACCATAAAGACGAAAAATGTATTCAATCACTAAATAAATTAGTCTCTTAGACTTGAGACTTAGGGGCCTCTTAATCATATTTTTGACACCTCATCTATATCTATATCTATAAAGAATAATCTATATGTTGGAATAAAGTGCATTTTAGTCACCTGTATGGCAAAGTTACTATTTTAGAGATTGAGGAGAGGTACGCGAAACTACAATCACGCCTTTCCTCCTAAAAGTTTATTGTATGCTGTTTCTCCTTAACAGGAAACTGCTATACTGGTAAAATCAAATTTAAGTGTAACATTGCTTGTGTCGTTTAATCCAACTTTAGTGCAGTATTACTCTTTATGTTTTCTCGGAAAAAAAATTATCCTAATGCTCAAAAATGTACTTCTTTCTAAAAAAAATTAAAAATTAAAAAATAAATTAAACTACAATAGATTATGCTTTTCGTCTGGCGCATTGAGTGAAAACCTTTTGTTTGCGATTAACTTTCCATTTTGTAATTAAAAGGAGGACTTGACATAAAAGAATATTTTTTTCTCAATTGATAAGGTCACTCTGATTCAAAAAGCAATTTCTCAGTTACGTATTTGCAAACCTTTTCGTTTTTAATAAAAAATCGAAAAAAGGTATGTTACAGGTGGTGTTAAAATGGAAATACGAACTTTGAAACAACGGTTCTAACAATTTGAGCTCTTCAGTAATGCTTGAGATAAAGAATGAGTAAAGTAATGCTTGAGATAAGAAATGAGTAAAGTAAAGCTCCAAGCTTGAAGACTCTTTAAGCGTTGACTACTTGCGTGTTACTTTATTTTTTTTTTACAGTACAGTAACAGAGTAAACAATTGACCATATCGATGAATTGCGGAGGAGTTGCAAAGTATCCGTAACCCGATTTATTCCGGACTCCATCTCCCCCTCACCTCGTTTATGCTTTTTGCAATTGCCATTTTTTTTCTTTCCTGCTTTTGCCTAATAAGCGAAATGTACAAATTAGAGAATACAAGTTTCATACACGGTACACATTTCCGGGGTATATAGGCTCTAATTGGGGAGAAATAATAGAAGAAAAAAAAAAAAAGAAGGAATCCAAAGAGTTTCAATTCAGGGGATATGATGTATACACAACACCAATATTTACGGACATCATTTATAAACTATATTTAGGCAAACATTGAAACTAGACTCGGCTACTTGTCCAAAGTTTTCTTCCCCTAGGTTTCTTTCTCTCTTCTTTTTCCTTGTTTACGCAATTCTACTTTTCTTGTCGTATTTTGGGTAGTATTTGTTAAACAAAAATCCATCAAGAAGAACCAATCCTGTAACAATAGAAGCATGGAGACCCACTACAACATTGTTATCGGATCTGATTCTGTGCTTTTCCAAATATCCCAAGTATCCAGCAGCAACACCACCAGCAACCACAAAGATTTGAGTTATGACAACTGGATTTTGCAATTCAACACCAACTCTTTGCAACAAATTACCGGTTGATACTTCAATCTGCTTTCCGGTTTTTTGTACGTTTACACCAAGAGCATGAGCATTCTTTTTCAACAGTGCCCAAATTTTAGCAAAGATATTCTTGCCTTCTTTTTCCAAATGACCAAGCTCCTTCTTAGCGGCTTCAAGGGCTTCCTGACCTTTTTCATTAGCAGTTTCGTAAATTAGTTGTCCTCTTTCACTGGCAGCTTCAAGCAACTCTTTGCTCAGTTCTTTCAAAGCCTCAGCTTCAAATTCACCTCGTTGTTTCAAGTCTTCAGCTTTTGCTTGACCCTGATTTTTTAAATCGCGAGCTTTAGCCTTGCCTTGCTCTTTTGCCTCATTGATATCAGCAGCAGCTCTTTTTTGAATATTTTCAGCATCCTTCTTGACATCCTTCTTGACATCCTTCTTGACTTGTTCGTGACTTGGTACGTTGGACATTTTTGTTTTCAAAGTTAAGTTTCTAAGTTACAGCTAGGGCAAGGTTTGTGTTTGTACGCAAGTAATAAGCTTTGAGTTAAAAATGTGAATAGATATTGATTGATAAAAAAGTTTTGTGAATAAATTCAATCTATACAATTGGAATAAAGAAAGTTGATGATGGATAAAAGAAAATTGAGTTGTAACTTTCTCTCTATTTCTCTCGCTCTTCCTTTTTCTGCTTAACTTTTTTTTTTAATGTTCCAATCAAAGGAATGATAATCGTGAGTTGGAAATGCTAATCAATCAATTATATAATAATAGCATGACAATTTTTAAGTGACAGGAAAAAATAGCAATCAAAAAAAATAAAAATAAAAAAAATAAGAATAATAATAATAATAATAATAAAAATTATACCGCCAATTGACGACCTGGTTCGGTGGTATCATTCAATTGTTAAGAGCTGGCACGTAGCAATTGCCAACAAAAGTGGAACCCATCCGGTTGCCTACGAGAGGAGGAATTTTGGATATACTTTTTACGTTTGAGATTACTTAAAGCAAAATGAGAAAAAGTTGTAACTTGTTTTATCAAAAACCCTCACCCCCCCCTTGCTACCGGGTTGCCAGCTTTTTGATCAATCATGATGGTTCGTTAAAGCCACTGGCACTGTATGTAATAGCAAAAGATAGATAAGAAGGCTTCATCAACCAGCACAATTCTATTGTTGTTGCAAAAATTTTGAATATAGGTGATTTTAATGAGTTGCAACAATTTTGAATATAGGTGATTATTAATGAGTCGCATGACTTTTAACGCGCACACTTTGTTCTCTCTCTTTGCACACTTTGTTTTCTCCTTTTGCGCACTTTGTTTTCTCCTTTTGCGCACTTTGTTCTCTCCCTTCTTATTTCCAAATTCCTTTTTCCCTTCGATGAAGTAGATAAGTAAATTAGAATTAGCCTAGAGTCGATAGGCTCTTGGCTCTTTCTTGCCATCCCCAACCCCAACTCCACCTCACCCCACCACCAAGTTGTCTTCCATTATGCTACCGTATGACATTGCCAACAATGTTCTCTTGATACTGTCCTAGAAAAAATATGGGCCGTATCAACCAGTACTTTAGAAAAAGGGTGCATTAAAGAAAAAAGCTCGGTGATGGAATAACAACTCTTTCATAATAAAAGCTTGTAATACTTCTACTATGCATAGTCCAGCAAGGCTATATTATACTTATACATATATATATGTGTGTGTGTATATATATATATGTGTACAGTTATAGTCGTTCACGTGCAAACGCCTTTTTTTAGGGTTTTGCGAATATCACAATTTTTTTCCCCCTCATACTATGTGTTTAGTTGATAATTTTTTGAAAAATCAAGGTAATCTCTGTACCTCTATTTTTCCCTTCATCAAACTTTGTCGATCGAAAACCAACACCCCGGCTTTCCACGTAACATTCCGACAAGTAGAACGAAAAAAAAATAGAAACAATGTCTGAAGCTCAACAAAAGAGACAATTTGGTGACAAAAAAAGAAGAGGTATTAGAAGAGGTAGAAGAGATGGTGAAGAAAAAGGTTGGACTCCAGTTACCAAATTAGGTAGATTGGTCAAGGCTGGTAAAATCACCTCAGTTGAAGAAATTTACTTGCACTCTTTACCAGTCAAGGAATTCCAAATCATTGATTTGTTATTACCTGAATTGAAAGATGAAGTTATGAAGATTAGATCTGTGCAAAAACAAACCAGAGCTGGTCAAAGAACTAGAATGAAGGCTGTTGTTGTTATTGGTGACTCCAACGGTCACGTTGGTTTGGGTATCAAGACAGCAAAGGAAGTTGCTTCTGCTATTAAGGCCGCTATTGTTATTGCCAAATTATCCATCATTCCTATCAGAAGAGGTTACTGGGGTTCTAACTTGGGTCAACCACACTCATTACCTTGTAAAGTCACCGGTAAATGTGGTTCAGTTACCGTTAGATTGATCCCAGCTCCAAGAGGTAAAGGTATTGTTGCTTCTCCAGCAGTTAAGAAATTGATGCAATTGGCTGGTGTTGAAGATGTTTATACCACTTCTTCTGGTTCTACCAGAACAACTGAAAACACTTTGAAAGCTGCTTTCGTTGCTATTGGTAACACCTATGGTTTCTTGACACCAAACTTGTGGAAAGAAACCCCATTGATTGCTTCACCTTTGGAAGTTTACGCCGAAGAAGCTTCCAGTGGTAAAAAGAGATATTAGATGTTTACATATTAAAAAAAAGAAAAAAGAATTGTTTAATAGTATAATCTTACATCTTGTGCAAGTGAAAACTGTAATATTCCCTATACAAAATCAAAAAATTGAAAAAAAAAAAAAATTAAAACTACACTTCTAAATATCAACACTCTCTCTTTATTTTAAAAAAAACTTTATTTCTTCATTGTTGTACAACCTGTTCCATAACTTGGTCCTCTGTAACGGCAAACTGACGGTTTGTTACTGTATTGGTATTAGTCCAAGTACTACTCTGCGGAACAACTCTTTCTGGATCATGTTTAAATAAACAATATGGAGCCAGGCAATTTACACCAAAACGGCATTGCTCATTGATCGGATGATTAAAGGTACAGTCGGGTCTGGTGCAATTGGAGCCATCTCTACAGAGAACAGCTGATGTCGCGTGTCTTCTTGGGCACCTGTACTTTGTGCATCCAGTCCCAAATTTACATTGTTCCAATGCAATAACGGAATGTGGTGTTATTGGTTTAGCTTGTACATTAGGTGAACGAGGGTGAGACTTGTGGCAATTTTCATCAAGACATTCTTTACCATTAGGACACCAATCCAAAGTCTCAATCTTTGCTGTGGGATTAGCGGGAGTCGGGTGAGCATACGGACAGTTCTCTTTGGCACATGAAGGACCAAACTTGCATGAACCTTGTTTTACTAATAAGTAGTTGATTTGTTTCTGCTCATACTCCTTTTGACTTTGTGCCAATTTTTCGATTAAATCCTGATCTTGATCAGGGTGTAAGTAGTTGCAAGTTCCCGGTGGATTTGAACAGTTGGGGTATGCAAAACAGTTCTTTGTTGGGTGAGATTTTGTACACAGCTCTCTATTTTTACACTTGGGATGATCTGGACATCTACCTATAGCCGGTTGAGCTACAAATTTGGAAACGTTATCATGGCCTAGTCTAACAAAGTTTTCCAACCGTTGAGTAACTTGTGGAGTCTTGTTAATAGTACCTACTCTATCTCCTAATTTGGTTGCTCCTGATGACCTATCCCCAGCTCGAGGTGCATTTACTCCTCTTGTCTTACCAATTCCAGCATTCTTGATTCCTGTTCGCACTGTTGTTGTTGTTGTTGTTATTTTTGTAGCCGAATTTGCGTCCACGCCAAACCTCTTGCTTCTCAAAGCTAGTTTTTCTTTTTCGCTTAATCGTTTTGGTCCCGTTGGTGGTTTAGTAGAAGGTAGTTGGGATATCGTAGTGGTGGTGGCTTCTGTACCAATGTTCAGCTTGTAATCTCTATCTGACGGTGTAACCAAAGAAGCACTTGTTTCAGAAATTTCTCTATTCAGAGCATCCACTTGTATAGGAGCAACATCAGCAGCAGCGCCACCACTACCATCAGTTCCATTCAGCTGTGCAGTTACTGAATCACTCTGATCAACTTCAACAGACCCAACACCCAATCTACTTTCAATATTACCAATTTCAACATAAATTTCATTCAAAAATTCGTTGTCTATAAGCAAATTCGCTATATCTTGCACTTCGCTGATTATTAACTCATTCTCCTTGCGACCCTCTATACAGAATACTAAGTACTCTGCAATGTCTGCGGCATCCTCCTGGCTTCTATCGTACCGTCTCTTGATCTCCATAGTTAAATTATGTTTTAGTTGTATTCCAACCTCGCTGTTTGCATCGAAATGTGTGTTCATCTTGGCTATATATAAAGTTAACAAGATGTAATCACTAATAGTGGCGTACTCTAATACTTTCTGCTTTTTTTTCTCTTCTTTCTTCCTTTCTTTCCTTTATAAAAAAAAAAAAAAAAAAAGAAAAAGAAAGAATATACAAAGAATTTATATCTGCAAAATAGTTTTCGTTAGTTACAAGTACCAAATAACCAATTTTTGAAACTCCCATTTCAACGTCATAGTAAGAGTAAGAGCAAGAGTACTGAAAGATAAACACATATATATATATATATATATATATATACAAAAAGCTATTCAAACTAGTCGAAACTTATCCTCCGAAATCTCTCCAAGCAACTCTTTAATCTGAACTAAAATGTTGTCTAATGAAGTCGAAACATCAGAAGCAACCAAAAGGTAAGAATAAAGCAAAATGAAGTCGCTATTTTTTAAATGTAACCCTCCCTCCTGTTGCTGTCGAATTTCACTCAATTTATATAGCATTCTGTCCTTGGCATGCTCTATTGAGGCGAATTTCTTTGGCAACGAAAAGCCTAGCTTCATTGCACTAGCTATCATGTAGAACACCAAAAATATTCTTTGCTCAACTTCGCTCCTTTCAATTTCAATATATTTCAAAACATACTCCTCGTTGGGTGTGAGAGTTGGATCAACTTTTATCAATAAATCTAAATTCTGAAAAGCATCAATAATGGCCGACGTTTCCTTGAGTAGTTTGGAGTATATTTGTGTTTGAAATTTTCCCTTGAACCTGTATTCTACTGGCGCTTGCTTCAATAGCGTTTCGCACTCTGAAAGTATTTTATTGGTACCTTCCTCGGCTTTGAATCCTACTAAAGTCATGGAACTTGGATTGTATTCTAGTGGGTCACTATTCCAAATGACTCCTAGTCTCAACCACAATACAGATAACCCATTTTTTAATCTAACACGAGCACTATTTGGCAAAAAGCATGTGGCCATAGTTAATGCCCAGATTATTCCAATCGAAACTGCTGCAAACCTGTGAAATGCTATTTCACCAATAATAGGATTCTCTCCACCTTCCATATCATCTTCGGAATCTTTTTGAATCATACTATAGGAATAAAGCATACTCAAATTATAGGTTAACAAAATAAACCGACCAAATGCATTATTTTGTTTCCAAAACAAGATTATATAAAATGACGGTACAGATACAACAATCCCTGCCAATGCCAAACAGTACACATTTGCATTAAATATATTCCATACTGAAAATGCCACAAAGGCTCCTAAAAAGGTACCCAATATTCTCCATTTAACAGTCATTGTGGTACCGCCTAATGATTTGTTCATCATTATGCAATACACAGTTAGAGCCCATTCTAGTCTCCAATTTTCAAAAAACATTCGAGTTTCGGGGACAAAGGCAAACACTGACAAAGCAGCAGCTCCTAAGCCGACTCTGATTCCAAACTGAACATCAGTTCTTTTGAAATATTTGATGCTTTGCCAAATTTTGTAAGAAATTTCTTCCCATATCGAACTAAAAACTGGCTTTTCCATTGGCAATCCGTACTGCTCTTTCAAGTCATCCAATGCTGCATGAAGACTCGTATCTTGGGTGTAACTATTGGTGAGCAGATTGTACTGTGCCCTTCGCAACCACGGCCATGACCTTGGTTTCCCCTTTGCGTGTTCGTATCTCTCAAATATCTCAACGCACTTGAGTAACTCAGTTGCAAATTGGCTTAGTAACGTGGCAAAATTTCCACAACATGCAGCAACTTTTTCTTGGTCTGTTTTAAATTGGATATCCAGATTTTGGTTAAATGACTCTTGATTATAAATGTGCTCAAATGACAACTCTTGTCTTTTTTCATACATAGCAATAGCCCTCTCAAGCGCGCTCTTTAATGTTTGTGTGTCGGGCTCCCTGTGGCCATTCTCATTGAATGGAGCACGCACCAACACATCTTTGATTGTGAAAACTAGGGACTTGATGGAAGGTGACAAATGATAAACAAATAAATCAAAAAGTTGGAGAGACGTTGCTACATCAACCTCTTCTTCTGCAAGTGCTCGTGGCCTAAAGTCATTGATTTCTTCCAACAATTGTGAACCACCTAACTCGTCAATACTGTAACTTTGTAGCGTGCTTGTTCCACTGGTATTGTTATTATTATCATTATCAGACAATCCGCTGTTGAGTAAACTCCATTGCATTCTTGTGGCTGAACTCAAGGCTTGTAAATGTCTCGCTAGAGAAACTGTAGTAGAAACCAATGACTTGTAATACTGCCATTCCTCTTCTTTTCCTACTAGCCTAAGCTCATACTTGGCTTCCTCGAGATACTGCAGTAACAAGTTTACATTTTTCTTTAGGTTATCAACCAATTGTAAATCCTTTTTGTTCAATTGCTCACCTGCAATAAAGCGTCTGGTCAATGTGAGAAGCACTGGTGAATAATTTTGACACGATTGACTCAATGTAGCTTGCAATAATTTTGTTGCACTAGTTGGCCATATCAAATAACAACAACCAAATGAAATAAAGCAGCCAGAGACAACCACTTTGAAAGTTGCTTCGATCCTATCTAAGGGGATATCACCGGAATTCTTACTCCCTTCCTTAACGATACATGCAACTATAGATATACAAGCCAAGGAACACGCAGTATTGAATGTTTGTTTGTTTACCTTCTGCTTCCAAAAGGAAACCACTCCCAATGCAACTGAGCTAACCAAAAGATCAATAGCGTGGCTCGTTTCGTCTTGGCCGTGTGTAAAAAAGCTTGATGATATGAGCCGACAGCCAAAGGAAACTACAACACTGTACAATAAAGATATGACAACAAAGATGATAGTTTGGTTCATGGACCCCCTCGTCCTTGTTGGATGGAAATATACCGCGACTGTGGCAATGACATGTTTCGAGTCGGTCGAGCCGAGAAACTCATCAAAGGGAGTATAAAAGACACCGAGCGATGCAATAAAGTAAGCAATAGTGCACTTTGTTACACTTTTAAAAGTATCATTCTGAAACAAGGCTACGAACGGCGATATGAAACGGTTGAATCTATTTGGTGGCATGAAAAATTGCTGTTCCATGTCAAGCATCTGCTCAGAATCTTGCGATTGTGAGAGCGTAATTGATCGCTGCACTCTCTCACCGGTGTCGGCCAAAATCACTGAGTTTTTACGATTAACAAACCGTCTTGGCGACGAAACATTTAGCCTTATCTTGTAATCTATTGGTTCTTCGCCAGAAGAAGGCAGACTGAGCTCCATAGTGCTCTTATCTAGCAATTTATTTCCTTCACCAGCCTCATTGTATCCTAAGTTCTGACCATTCATAAACGGTTCAATGACAACCCTTCTTGTGAAGAATAGATGGCGTGTGTGTGTCTATAAAAAAAAAGAAACAACTAGGTCAATAAATTTACTTCTCACGCGGAACTTAGTTGCACAGAGAGATACCGTTGTATGGCTAGAAAAAGATGGTTTGTATATTTTTTTTTTCTCTTATCCTTTTTCAGGGGGGGGGGGGGGGGGGGTTAAAAGCCCCTAAAGATAAGTTAGCAAAGCGGCGGTCTTTTTTTTTTTTTTCTTTTTTTTTTTGGGGGGGGGGGGGGGGGGGGGGGGGGTTACCGTTGATCGTAAATTCATTACACTAACTTTACAAATTTTATACACTTACCTCTAAAATATTGCCTTATAAGCTGTTATTAATAATACTATTGTATAAAGCTTATATGAAATTCATTTTCCACATTTATTTGCTACTTCTTTTCGCTTTTTTTTGGGGGGGGCCTTTTTCCTTTTCAATTATCATCTTCATAGCCAATAGTATCTCTAAAAAGATCTTCACAAGGCACAGTAGCGTTTAATCTTGCACAAAGTAAGAATACACCACTCAATTTCCTATGCAAAGAGTATGTTTCCTCTGGTGGAGGTGCCAATCTTTCATTCAACATCAATCCAATGTTGCCTCTAACTCTATCAGTAATAGTCTGATTCTTAAAATCAAATGGTTGGCCGTTATTGTCAATCGGTGAAAATGCCTCACCAAGACACATGATTGAATCGATATGTGCCTTTGTCATCGAAGGTGACTCCAACCCGGTCAAATATCCCAAATCACGTGATAGCTGCTCTACTCTTTTAGCATCTTTCTTTACTGCTGCTCTTAGTACACTGACATAGTTTTTAATAAAACCATCGTTGAATTCTCGAGCTGCACCAAAGTCCAAAAGCTCGATTTTTTTGGTCTTATCATTATACAAAAAGTTGGCCCAGTTGGGGTCAGTCTGCATAAACTTGAACTCCTTCAACTCCAATAAACATAACCTCATGATATTTGTTGCAATCCAATTCTTGGTCTCTTGGTTCCAGTTGCCTTTAACTATTTCCGTGCCTCTCATTCTTTCCATGGTCAAAACATGTTCTCCGCAAATATTATGGAAAACGCGAGGAACCACAAATACTTGATCATCCTTTAAAAGCTCTCTCATTCTAATGAGATTCTGTGCTTCTCTAATATAGTCGCACTCCCATTTCAACTCTACTCTCGCGTTGGCAATTGTCTTGTCCAAAAATAAACCAGCTGGTAAAAGCGACGATGCTGTTAAAATCATAAGCAAGTTGTTAAGATCTGAATCAATCGAGTTTGCAACTCCAGGGTACTGCACTTTTACAACAACAGGAGTTAAATCTTCAGTCACCGCCGTGTGTACTTGACCAATAGAAGCTGCGGCAATGGGGATATCATCAAACGAAGCAAACAATCTTTCCCGCCAATGCAAGCCCAAATCTTGAACCATGACTCTTTCCAATTGTCCTGGCGGCATATAGTGTGCAGAATTCTGCACTCTTAGTAAAACTTGCTGAATTTCTTTGGGTAAGATCGATGCGTCTTGGAATGAAAGCATCTGTCCCAATTTCAAAGCTGCGCCTCTCATTTTAGAAAACTTTCTCGCCATTCTTTCGATATTTTGCGGGGACAAAAACAAGGACTTCATACTCATCGAACTCGTGTTTCCAGAAGCATACTGTTTCAAACCTTGAGTCGCTGCGTTTAAGCCCATCCCTGCTGCCAATGATCCGTAATGAAAAATACGAGATAGTCTAGAGCTCGGGATATCACTCTGCATCATTTGAAATTGTTGCGGCTTTGGCTGCTGTTTTTCTTGTTCAATTGCGGTATTTGTTGATTTTGGCGAAGAGATTGTTGGATTTGAATCCAACTCCACAATCTCTTCACCGGGATAGAATGATTTTGTAGAATATTTACGTGTCTGTTGATTTGCTCCAAAGGGGTTTTTTTCGTGGGGGTGGTTTTGCGCATTATAAGAGTTTCTAGTTGACCAAGACAAAGCTTGCACTTCATCCCACATGGGTCTATTTTCATCGCTTAAATCTCGTATGGATTTAATGAAAATATTGTTTTTGTAGAAATCGCAAGCATCTCGTTGTATTATTTTAGCCGAACCTTGTGCAATGTGGAGAAACGAGTTGGCTATCACACTGAGCTCATACACGTTTCTACTTAGCGTCATAGTGGGAAGGTACTATACTATATGTGAAAAGGGTATTAATAATTAGATTGACGGCGCTAGAAGTAAAAGTGCCAATAATGCTAGTGCTAGTGCTTATGGTGGTGGTGGTGGTGGTAGTACCTATATTAGTGTTTGTGTGTCTATTAAACGTATCTTGTTATTCAAATGTTTTGATTAATGTGGGATTCTTTTATATATCAGTGAAATAGCATATGCTAATAAAGACTAATGAAAAGAAAAAAAATGGAAGAAAAAAAAAAAAAAAAAAAATGAAAAATGATTCATCAACTTCACACATTGATACGCCCTCACCACCACCCCATGTTTTTGGCAGAGACTGCGTAGTAATTACATGTTTTCTGTGTTTCCACAAAATGTATAGAGGGCTTTATTTTTTCAATATATATAATTTCATACTCTATTATACTTTACCATGGCATCTTTTGGAAGACAAGCATTACGCTCTTTCTCTTCTCTAAAAATGAGATCATCGCAACTTTTGCTTTTCTTCACTGTTGTGGAAGAAGGTTAAAAAAAAAAGAAAAATGTAGTGGATGGAATTCCGTCTACTAGTATCTATGAAAGTTTCGAAAGCAGTTTCGATATCCTCGTCACTTGAAATTGATGGACGGATTAAACAATACCAGTTTTCCAGTTTCACTTGGTGATATTTTTCTAGCTAATCCCCTGGTGGTATTTTTCTAGTTTTCCCCTGGTGTTTTTTTTTTTTTTTTTTTCGCAGCCTATTAAAATTTCATTTTCTAGAACAATCGGGAGAGAGTTAATCGGAAAAATTATTACTTTTCACCGAGATTCATTACACCTACCACGTTCTCCAACTAAAAAGAAATGTTAATAAACGATAAAATTTCGCAGCAATTTGCCTCGATATCACCCACACACACACACAAACAAGCACCACACACACCACACACCACACACACTAGTGGGATGGAATAGCCAATTCAACCAAAAATATCTGTATATAGATCCTAGATTTTTTCTCTGATATATTTCATAGTTGTCTAGGTATAAATAGACGATGTCGGATACATTAAAGCTACTTTAACCTATTTACGAAGAATAAATTATTCGTCTCATAGTTCCAACAAGTGTTTTGCTAGGTTAATGATTTTTTTTTTTTTTTTTCGCAATTATGTGCAAAAAAATGAGTAAACACAAAGTAAGTTAGCCACCACATTTCCGTTGAGATGGCTTCAAACAGGGACCAACCAAGTTCGAAAAGAAAACAAAATTTCTTACATGATATTATCAGTATTAACTGAATAAAATTTCACGTGGCTTTACACACATTTTTTTTTTTTTGCTTAATTTTGTAATGACAACCATTAATTCGTACCGAAATGGGAGGAGCCAACAATAATGCAAACACACACGCTACCATATGCTATTGTATTACACACACGCTACCAAGCGCTATCGTATTTTTAGCAACAAGATCATAATCAGATATATTTTTTTTTTCAAGCCGATATCAGGAACATTGTTATTATTATAAGTAATAAACATTTTTGGCACACTTTTTCCAGATCTGGACCTAGTCAATTTGTGTGGGAGTACGGAGTCACCTTTTTTTTTTTTTTAAATTCCAGTCAGCCTAATAGATCAGTTCATTCGCTAGTTATAATATTCTCTCCTTGTTTTTCTTAATTTCCTGGCTCAATTCCTGTATCTCCAAGCAGGAACGGAAAATTAATTAATTAATTATGTCAGCTAGTCAATCGATAAGAAACTCATTTCAGTCATCAAGGTCTCCATTGAAGCAACAATCGCCTCGGTTTCAAACGCAGCTGAATTTCAACCCTTATGAAGCAGCAAGAGATCGGCAGGATTTGTACCAAGCAAGTACAGTAACATCCAGGGTCGTTATAGATGATGATCCCGTCGTTCCCGAGTACAAAGATATTGCCATGTCTAATAACAAGTGCAACTACAGCATGAAGATTGTTGTTGTTGGAGATGGTGCCGTGGGGAAATCGTGCTTATTGATAAGCTATGCGTTGAATAGGTTTCCTGACGAGTATGTGCCCACGGTGTTTGACAACTATGTGCATACGGTTGTTTCTCCTCAAGGAAAGACAATCGAGCTAGCGCTATGGGATACTGCTGGACAAGAAGAATACGAAAGGTTGAGACCATTGAGTTACCCAGACGTTGACTTAATATTGATTTGTTTTTCACTTGACAACATCACTAGTCTACAAAATGTTAGCGAATTGTGGTTTCCTGAGGTAAATCATTACTGCCCCCGAATACCACTTATATTGGTAGGAACAAAATCGGATTTACCAAGTAGTATTGCTGATGGTTTACCGCTTCAGATAGCTACAGATATAGGAGCTATAGCGTATCTCCGATGTTCAGCAAAGACAATGGATAACGTGAGAAATGTGTTTAATTTTGCATTGAACCATTTTCAAAAACAAATGCAAATACAAGAACAGCTTGAGAAAAGTAATCGAAAGAGAATAAGTAAACGATTTAGTGGTAGTAATGGAAATGACCATTTAAGAACAGGAAGTCAAACATCAAATTCACGAAAGGGACATTTGAAAAACACTTCATACGACTCAACTATTTTATTGGACCAGCCATTAACTGAAGACACCTACGAAAATAACCCATATGGAAATTTTGGCAATAATGCCAAGGTGAGTCCATATAATGAAGGTGAATTTAGTTTTATCAAAGAGAGGGAAAAACGCGAAAAATTTACCTTGAAGAAAAAATGTGTAATTTTATAGAGCTTTAGAGAGATTGTATGTAATTGATTAGAAGAAAGATATGTTGTAGTGACACTATCGAGCGAAGCGAGATAGTGAAGCGACACTGACTAATGACACTATCGAGCGAAGCGAGATAGTGGCGCAACACTGACTAATGACACTAATGACACTATCGAGCGAAGCGAGATAGTGAAGCGACACTGACTAATGACACTAATGACACTAATGACACGAATGACACTAATGACACGAATGACACTAATGACACTAATGACACTAGTGACACTATCTCGCTTCGCTCGATAGTAGAAAATCAAAAACAAACTCCAATAGAGAATAAGTTCCAATTGGCCCATCAAACCAATTTCATGGGCCAATTAATTTCTGTGGGTGAAAAAAAATAAAAGAATTGATTTTTGAAAAAGAGCACCAAATTTCATCTCAGCTCAAATACAATACTGATGCACATAGGCACCAATTTACAAGTATTGCTTGATTGGTACCGTTTTGTTGCCATCGTTTTGCTAGTACCGCCTACCAATCTTAATATTAACAAATCAAGTCCACAGCAAAATCGAATATTAAGGTCTATATATTTTTATTGAAAACTCTAAACTTACCCCATTGTCTAATTTATTCCTTTTACTAAAGAGATCGAACAAACTTTGCTTGATTCAATTTTTTTTTTTCTCCAGTGAAAAAAAAAAAAAAAAAACAAACAAAAAAAGATAAAATAAAGGGGAATTTCGTCAATTTTTGGTATACAAACCATCTGGTCTTAAATATAAAAAGGGCTCTTCTTGTTTGCCTCAGGGGAGAAATATTTTGCAGAGACCTATTTGTTGGTAATTTTCCACGTTTGTATCACCACAATTTGACAGTCATATTATTGTGAAGTTGTCTTTTGGTTCAATTTCGATGCAGTCATTATGCATCAAGGACACAATTATGAGACGCATCTAAAATATACAAACCAAAAAAGATTCTCTTTACGAGATGGAGGTAAACTGGAAATTGAAGATCATTCATCAGATGCTGGAAACAAAGAAGATAACCATTACAAGAAAAGATTATCGCCAATACGGTACAAACTACGAAGCTTGCTTCTTCCAGTGATCAGATACGAGACTGAAATTTTATACAAATTGCAAACATGTTTAAGAAACCCGTTTTTTGATTTTTATTTTGCATGGACCGCAAATTTAGCTAGCCATACGTTTTATGTGCTTATGTTACCACCGCCAATATGGTTTGGCGCCAGTGATCTTTCAAGAGACTTGGTTTATGTACTAGGCTTGGGCATTTATATTACTGGATTTTTAAAGGATTATTTTTGTTTGCCGCGACCACGATCGCCCCCCTTGCATAGAATTACAATGTCAAGCTATACAACCCAAGAATATGGATTTCCATCATCGCATTCGGCAAATGCTACTGCCGTTACTCTAGTGGTTTTTAAATCGCTCCTTACACACAGAGCCAACTTTGCAAGTAGTACATTCTATGCCTTGATATATGGGTTGATTTTGTACTATTGCTCGTTGATTTTTGGACGGCTATATTGCGGCATGCATGGCTTTTTCGATATCTTGGTTGGCTCCTCTGTAGGAGCGTTGTTGTTTTTGTTCAGATTATACTGGGGTAAGCAATGGGACCAATTTCTCTTTAGTCATGGAATTATTATAGGAATCATGTTGATAATTGGTATATTTGTATCCTTAATTCATTTCCACGCAGAACCAGTTGATGATTGTCCCTGTTTTGACGATTCTGTTGCATTTATTGGTGTTTTGATTGGGTTGGATTTGAGTCACCTTATTGCTTATGAAACAAAGGTATTTTACAACTTGAATGATATAGGCGACATGTTCTTGATCCCCTTTGATGCAAAAAGGGGCCCCTTAAACATAATCTGCAGGTTTGTGGCTGGTGTTGTACTAGTTGTTGCTTGGAAAAGTTTATCAAAGCCAATGATATTTACAATATTGCCACCAGTCTATAAATTTATTGGGATTTATCTACCTAGACGTAATTTTATTGCTACAGCACACACAAGCCAACTGACTAGACATATCAGAAGCGCGTCCATCTCCAATGACGTGTCCCAAATAGGTGATTTGAGTAACTTCATAAAGGGAGTCACTGATCACAAGACGTTGGATTTAGACAATTATGGACCCAATAGTGAAATTGATTATTATGAGATGATCGACTACAGCAAGCAGTATAATGATACAAGTATTGATGTTGAGAAATTAAAGTTCAAAAGCGGAGTATTCAAGTATAGATATGATGTGGAAATAGTTGGTAGACTATTCGTTTACGCTGGTATTGCTGCATCAGCTATCTGGGCATTTTACTTTGTATCTAGCATACTTAACCTATAAGAGAGCTCGGCTCCTCGACACTATCGAGAAGAGCGAGATAGTGGAGCATCAAAGCACATTGTTTTCAACACTGTTCATATCCACTGGCTTCCCGACACTATCGAGCAGAGCGAGATAGTGGAGCATCAAAGCACATTATTTTCAACACTGTTCATATACACTGGCTTACGATCAAGTCTTTGCTTATTTCCTCAAAAAACCTCCTATATATATATAAACAAACCCGTGTCGCTAGTCAGTGCTGCTTCACTATCTCGCTCTCGATAGTGTCGCTAGTCAGTGCTGCTTCACTATCTCGCTCTCGATAGTGTCGCTAGTCAGTGCTGCTTCACTATCTCGCTCTCGATAGTGTCGCTAGTTAGTGCTGCTTCACTATCTCGCTCTGCTCGATAGTGTCGCACGATAGTGTCTACAAAGTGTTGCTTCACTCTCTCGCTCTACCCGATAGTGTCGCACAATAGTGTCGCACACTAGTGTTGCTGATTCCGTTGTTTCAACTAATGTTTTATAATTCTTTTCTTTTTTTTTTTTTTTTTTTGCCTTGTATGCTTCAAAGTGAATTTTCGTCAGGCTTTTGAGACTAAATCAGTGGGGGAAGGAGAGGAATATGAGGTGATATACACACATATACACATAGACATGTTATAAAGTTTTAAATGTTATTGGTATAGATAATATATAGAACATATATACATACAATATGTAATATACATAGATACATATCATATCACTGACTTGTAATTCATAATTATACATTATACATTTCTTAACAAAAAAAAAATTAATTCCGCGATATTATTTATTACAGTCCATTGAGATAGAAAGAAAGAGTACGAGTAAAAGAGAGAGACAGAGAGAAGGAACAAGAAAGAGCGAAATAAAGAGAGAGAGAGAGAGTCGGAGAGCTAGCGAGTTATTGAGATTTACAGAGAGACTTGGATAAATACTAAAAGAACAGGGTTCTTCAAAGTTGACAGAAAAAGAGTGTGAATATAATCAAATTAAAATTTATTTGCTTTGAATATTTGTTACCAGTATTATCGATTTTTAAACAATTTTTCACTTAACACCCTCGCGGCAATCCCTTTATTCCCAAGTTTTCCTCCCCCCCCCAGTTCCATCTTTGATATAGAACATTTCACATCGCTCGCTATTAGCTCATGCAATAACTCGTCACCTCTCAGGTTTTGCTTTATTGTTGTCATAGCATATATATTTTTCTTTCTCCCCACCCATCAACCCCACCTAAAATTTCAGAGAGGCGTATTTTGAGTAGGAGACAAGATGAACGATAACTTCAACAATTCTCCGGCTAACCAACCGATATATTTCAATTCAACGTCAGGGACGCGTTCAACGTCAGGGACGCGTTCAACGCCAGGAAACCAACAGAGCGATACTGGAAATCACGAAACAGGGGCATCTATGAATAACAATAATAATAATAATAACACGCGGTCTTCAACTAGTAACTCTAATGGACACGATGGCACAAACCAGGCAAACACCCATAATAATAACAACAACAGCAACAACAACATCAGCAGCAGCAACAACAACAACAACAACAGCAACAGTAACAGCAACAGCAACAACAACAGCAACAGCAACAGCGATATCAACAGCGGCGCCAACAACAACAGCAGTGCCGCCACCACCACCACCACCACCACCACCAACAACAATAATAATAACAACACCACTACTGCTGATAATAATGGCCTTACAAGTAGTACCCCGCGACTATCACACAATACCTCAACAAACTCTATGAATGATCCAGTTCCTAACCACAGCGCATCAATAATGGATCAGCACACAATTAATGATTTGTACCAGTTGATGGGACAGCTACAACAACAAAATTCAATCAATAATCAAATTATGATGAAGATGAACTATATGTCAGAATCACTACAGCAAGTGAAAGAGAATTTACAAGACTTGAATCAACAAGTTATGTTTACTTTGCAAAATGGCTCAAACATAGGATCCCCTGCAAATGGAGGAGCTTTAGGAGGTAACAATTTTAACAACCAATTCAAAACCTTTGAAATTTTTACAAGGCACTTGAACAAGTTGAACAAGGAGATGGAGGAAATAAGTAATGGTCATCACCAAAATCAACATCAAAATCATCAAAGCTCTGGCTCACATATCTTGCATACCCAAGGACAACAGCACGAGCAATCTCAAGCGCAAGGACAACAACAACAACAACAACAGCAGCAACAACAACACCCATCTTCACTGCTGCAGCCGCCGCAGCTGGTACTACAAAATGTCAATCACCAACTTCAATCTCAACCGCCTTTACCAGGCTCTTCTAATAGCATTCCACATAGTAGTCATCAGCACCATCATATCCTGACAAATCAAAGCCAACCCAATAGTAACAGCACGTTTGATGAAGATGTTGACCTTACACGAAAAAATCTAGTTTTGAGATCACCTGCCACAGCGTCGAGTGCCACATCACCTTATGTATTCGAACTTGGAGGCTTTCACACTTCAAGAAGTAGTAACAATATAAACGGAAGCATGTTGTATGAAAAGTCACCACTAGCGCAGGCGCAAATGCAACCTCCAGTTCATTCTTTTGACAGAAAAAGAGGCAAACATGGAAAGAATGCAGTGCCATCGCCAGCCGGTCAAAGTCCAAGAACCCAGTCTCAACAACAGCAGCAACACCAACAACAACAAACTACTTCACAAAGACTACCAATTATTTCTCAACAGCATCAGCAACAACATCACCATCATCAACACCATCAACAACAACATCAACAGCAGCATCAACAGCAGCAGCATCAACAACAACAACAACAACAACAACAACAACAACAACAACAAGCGTCCCATGGTCCTCAATCCTATTCAAACTCATACATGCTTCCCATGCCACCTTTGCTCACTGAAGACAAGGGAACTTTAAATGACCCGTCATCCCAATTCATGCTTTCTCGAGAAAATGGGAATATGTTGACTTCGGCTTTGAGACAACAACCTTCACATACTAGAACAATACCGCCACCAGCATCTTCGTCGACTTTTTCGTTTGACGAGAATGATATCGAACGAAGCATTGACGAATTGGAGCAACAGGCAGGTTCGAGTTCAAGTTCACACAATCAATCGAATACCTCTACTACTACTCAGAGCAAAACCGATAAATATGGTCAAAAGAAGAGGAAAGTAAGCCATGAATTGAAGGGTAACATGCCTGCACATCCAAATGATGTGCCACAATACAAACTTGAGAGAAGTCTCAAAGCATTGAGTGATATTTGGAAGGAGTATGCTTATGGTGTAAACGATAAGCCTCCCTTGAAATTTCTTGAAGCCAAATATGGAACAAAGTGGAGAAATGAAACCGAGTCTAGAACATTTCTTAGAAGAAAAAAGATTTACGAGGCGATTGAAATTGGAAAGAGTAAAGGTTATACTGAAGAAGAGGTGATTCGGGAATTAGAGGACTATAGGAGCTACGATAGAAATGGGAACATCAAAAAGAAACCATTACTGTGGTTAAGTTCTAATATGCCTGACAAATTTAACAACCCTGCAACCGACAGTTAAAATTCCGTGGCTAGGATTCAATTACAAATTGTAATTTAACAAGAAGATAGCTTTTGTATATTTTTTTGTATTAATATATTGATTTTAAAAGCAACAGGAGGGGAGGGAAAGAGAAAGAGAAAGAGATAGAGAAAGAGGAAGAAACCTGGAGCCTACTCATTTGTTTATAGACTCTCACCTATTTACTCTTGCTTATAGACTCTTATTGACTTTTCGTTCGATAGTATCGGTCAGTGTGCTCCACTATCTCGCTTTGCTCGATAGTAGCAATGGCGCAGCTCATTTTCTTTAAAAGCGAGTGTCTCAATACTTTGGGGGTAATATCTCTATGAGTCTTGTTTTAGCCAATGGTTTTGTCTCGAATTTGGATTTGTAATTCATCTTATCGTCAAGATGTCTCATCGGTGTTTTTATTTTTTTTTTTTATTTTATTTTTATTTTTATTTTAGTTTTTTTTTATGGGATTGCGAAGATGCGATGCGATAGGGATCAATTGTGAAGAGTTTAGGACAGTTCGGTACGGTTGAGGATATGACAGCCGAGATTGAGGAGAGAAAGAGACTTTTGACACCGCCAAAGGTGGAGCCTAATAAGAAATTCAAACAAGAACAACAAGAACAACAACAACAACAACAATCCAAGAAACTGAAAGTTAGAAAATACAAGGCCAAATCTACCGATGCCACTAGTCCGCTTGGTGTTTTAGAGTACGAAATTAGATCTCTATGCAAAGGTCATGGTTTAGCTTTAGAAGATATTACAAACGACATGAAGGGCATATTAAACAATCGTGAAATTGAGGAAAAATATCACAGAGTTGTTGAAAACGTTCACGTGTTGCAATTGTTATCAAATGGAGACTCCATTGCTATAATTTGTGGAGCAGATTCCCAAGTCAAGGTCAAGAAACAAGTAGTAGTTATACCCTTTGCTTTGCCGGGAGATGTTGTTACTGTGAAGATATATCGAACACATCCGTTGTATGCTGAAGCAGATTTGCTATCTGTACAAACACCATCGAAAATGAGAGATGATTCATTGATTCAATGCAGATACTTTGGAAAATGCTCGGGGTGCCAATTCCAAAATATTCTGTATGATGATCAGCTCAAAATCAAACGGAAAACGATTCAAAATGCATATACCCATTTTGCACCGATTTTAACGGAACAGAATAAATTACCCGAAATTTTAGAAACACAACCATCACCTTTACTTTATAACTATAGAACAAAACTCACTCCACATTTCAACATACCTACCAAAAAGAGTGGAGCAGATTTAACGTTCAGACCAAATTTTGGATTCGGAGCAAAAGGTAGGCCGGCCTGGAGACAAAGTGATTTTGGACCTACTGGATCAATCATGGATATTGAAGAGTGTAGTATTGGCACCCCCATAGTAAACTTGGGGTTGAAAAATGAGCGCAAAAAATTGGAGACGACTTATAAAACTTATAAGAAGGGTGCTACGATACTACTACGTGAAAATACCAAGATCAAAGATGGCGAGAAAATCGAATTGGGAGAGGCATCAAGAGATTTTGATGATGGAACTGTTAGTCTGATCGAAGTGGCAGCAGCAGCGGCTCAAAACGGGCTAGAACTAGTCAAAACTTGTGTTGTAGCACCAAGACAGATTGTCCAGGAAATAGTAGGAATCTACAAATTCGAATTTTCAGCAGGTGAGTTTTTCCAAAACAATAATTCTATATTGCCTTTGGTGACAAGATATGTAAAAGATAACTTATTACACTCGCAACCAAATTACCTTGTTGATGCGTATTGTGGTTCTGGATTATTTTCCATTACTTGCTCATCGAATGTGACCAAAGTCATTGGCGTAGAAGTTAGCGCAGAGTCGGTAAAGTTTGCCAAACACAATGCCATTTTGAATAATACTCAAAACACTAAATTCATTGTGGGGAAAGCAGAAGAGATTTTTAAAGATATTGATACTCCATCATCACAAACATCTGTTATTTTGGATCCACCAAGAAAAGGGTGTGATGAAGTTTTTTTGAATCAGTTAAGTGCTTACAAACCTGCAAAAATTGTTTACATATCCTGTAACGTTCACTCGCAAGCAAGAGATATTGAGTGGTTTTTAAATAATACTGAAAACGGTTCAAAATATGTAGTTGAAAGCATCAAGGGCTTTGACTTTTTCCCACAGACTCATCATATTGAAACTGTTACGGTTTTGTCAATGGTGTAAATACTCTACAGATGAATTTGAATATCTATCTATTTATATATATATAATATGCCCACATGCATACTTGCAAGCAGAAGTTACTTTCATATCAAAAGTTACATGCAATTGACTATCCACCATAGTACTCATGGTCTTTGTTCTCCTACCCTCTAAGAGATAGGGCTAGAGCCCTTTTTTTAAACAAACTGGACTTTTTTTTTTCTTACATTCTTTCTTTTTTTTTTTAAAGAGAAAGGGCACTACCAACAATATGTGTCCTACACACCGACTGAAAAAATGTACATTATTTTTGTATAGTTGTACTCATTGAGATAACGATATATATTACCAGATCAACACACTAAGATGGAAAACGATAAAGGTCAATTAGTATGTTTTGAAAATAGGATATTGATATACAGGGAGTGTTTTTGAGAGTGTTAGAGCTAACTGGAGAAACGAAAATAGAGGGGAACCAAGTTTTTGACTGTTGAATCAAGAAAACTAAATACGTGAAAAACTATTTCTGAGAGGCACACCAGAATGTCATATGTCAAACACACGCTCCCATAGAGACTATCAACTGGGGTTGCTTGCAGCCCCTGTGAAGCATGCGATTGCTTTCTTTCCCACCCCCAAAAAAGAAAGTGAAGCTTTAGCAAAGTGTTTACTATGGCTGAGAGTTTCAAGAAAGCGAAGCTCTAGCAAAGTGTTTACTATGGCTGAGAGTTTCAAGAAAGCGAAGCTCTAGCAAAGTGTTTACTATGGCTGAGAGTTTCAAGAAAGCGAAGCTCTAGCAAAGTGTTTACTATGGCTGAGAGTTTCAAGAAAGCGAAGCTCTAGCAAAGTGTTTACTATGGCTGAGAGTTTCAAGAAAGCGAAGCTCTAGCAAAGTGTTTACTATGGCTGAGAGTTTCAAGAAAGCGAAGCTTTAGCAAAGTGTTTACTATGGCTGAGAGTTTCAAGCAAGTGACTTAACGCGGATGGCTCACAAATGATTTCAAGTACCAAAAACTTTTCATTTGCCAGACAAGCTCAAACACACATCCCTTCAAATGTCATGAAGAGTGAATTTTTTTTTTGATACTAACATCTTTTCTTTTTTAGGTTGAATTATACGTCCCAAGAAAATGTTCTGCTACCAACAGAATCATTAAAGCCAAAGATCACGCATCAGTTCAAATTTCTGTTGCTAAAGTTGACGAAAATGGAAGAGCTATTGCAGGCGATAACATCACATATGTTTTGAGCGGTTACGTTAGAGGCAGAGGTGAAGCTGATGATTCATTAAACAGATTAGCTCAACAAGATGGTTTATTGAAAAACGTTTGGTCATACTCCCGTTAAGGTAATAGATGTGTAATGTAAATTAGTATTAGTATTAGTGGCATTAAAGATATAAAGCTTTTTTGACTGTTGATTTTTGATTTTTTTTTTTTGATTTGAAAATCTTTATTTTTCCTTTTTCCCAGAGAAGTAGATTATAGTATTACTTTTTTTCTTGCAAAGAAACATATGTAAACCCCCAGAAGACCAGCATAGTGAAAAAGTGTAGAGAAAAATTGAAATCCATTAAATTTGGGTCCTCAAGTTTCCAATCAAAGATACCAGTATCTTTTTTTTTTCCGTTTTCCATTTCACATTTTCTATATCTTTTTTTCATGTCCTTTAGTTGTTGGATTGACAATCCTTTAAAAGACTTCCTTGTTGGACCACCTAGCTTTCTTTTTTATTGCACACCTAGCTTTCTTTTTTATTGCACCTAGCTTTCTTCCTTATTGCACTATGTTGTATCTCATTCACTTTCTCTCAATTATGTTTCTTGCGGGGTAGAAAAATTTATTATACACCTCCATCCTTGTCTTCTATGTCCATTCTCGCCTGGAACCTGATGAGTGCATTTTGCGAGGTCTCTATTTTTATTCTCCCTTTAGTTTGTTTTGTTCAAGTTCAACCATTACGGTGAGTGGCAGAGAAATAAATAAAGTAATTGTCTTACATCGTATCTAATAAACTGATCTACTTACATAGTAACTTATAAACTGATCTACTTACATAGTAACTATAAACTGATTTACCTACATTGTAACTATAAACTGATCTACTCCCGTATTTACGTAGTAGTTTTGCCTAGTCAATAATTTTATATCTTATTATTTTATTTTATTTTATTTTAGTTTTTTTTTTTTTATTACTTTTCTTAGACTAATAATTCTTATTAAATGTTTTTGTTTACACACAGTATAATCTATATTCAACAAATGTTGGGAAAAGGAGATTCTTTTTTTGCATAAATCAAAAGATGGTTTTGTAGCCTGTAGTGGTTTCTTTACAAGTGTTGTTCTTTCTTATCAAGAGTTTCCCATTCTTCTTACCAGTATTTTTCTTTTTTTTTTTTCTTTTTTTCAATTTTATAGTTGTTTCTGTTTCTGTTTCTGTTTCTGTTCCAGGCAATTGCTCTTTTACATAGAGTCACTGAAAGAATATGACAGAAGCAATATTCACATTACTTTATAGTGCCGACTATCTTGCTGGTGCATTGGTTTTGGGTGTTCAATTACAAAAAATTAGAAAAAGATCAGCAAAAAGTATTGTTCTTGGAATTTTGGTTGACAAGTCACAGTTTACTTCTTCTCAGTTACAGTTGCTTGCGAGATACTATGACGAGCTAAATGATGTGTCACCAACTCTGTCGACTTTGCATGAAAAATTAGAGTGCGAATTAGCAAGACCAGAGTTGAACAAAACGTTTACCAAAATTGAGTTGTGGTCACTTCAACAATATGAAAAGATACTTTATTTAGACTCAGATACACTTCCGTTGGTATCGGAATCATCCTCTAGTAGTATAGGAGACTTGTTGCAATTGGAGTTTGATGAGAACAAAATATTGGCTGCTCCCGATAGTGGGTTCCCCGATGTATTTAATTCTGGAGTCTTTGTGTTGAAACCTAGCCAAAAAGTTTACAAAGAGTTGCAGTCGCTAGTTGAAAAATCGAAAATCGATCTGAGTGTTTCCTTTGACGGTGCTGACCAAGGTCTTCTCAACTATTTTTTCAATAGCAAACCAAATTGGGTTCAGCAGTATGTAGAGAAAGGAGAGATAAATGTGGATAATGTAGTTGAAACTAATAACTGGATAAAAATTCCATTTTTGTTCAATGTCACACCTTCAGCAGCATATGAGTATTGGCCGGCATTTAAACATTTTCATAAAGTAGTCGACCAACCAGAGCCTAGTAGAGGTTGGGGACCAGGAGAGTATGATAACGAGTTACTTTCTACTTTTGATACACTAAATCGCTATCGTTCTGCAGCAATCCGCCACGTTCTGGGACAATCATCATCATCTTCTTCTTCTTCTTCTTCTTCACAGATTCAAGTGATGCATTTCATTGGACCATACAAACCCTGGGCGTCTTGTGCCACGGCTCATGGAATTCACAAGGACTGGCTAAAAGTTTGGATTGAAGAGTTTGGAGAGCGTTCAATATCCGATGTTGTAAATGAGGGTGTTTTACCAGACACAGAGAAGCAGAATTATCAACATGAGCTGCAGCACTTGGTGGAGTATTCTCCCTCAAAACCTATTTCCAATGATGTCCATGATGAGGAACGGGAAGATGAAAAGAAACATCAACCTACAAACTCGGATCCTTTTTCTTTACTTGATCCATCTCGCTACCAACGGTTCAAAGATACCGCAATACCCAGTATTGATGCAATGTGGGATGCAACAAAAGAGGCTCCGCCAAAACACAATAAAAAAGAATCATCACAACCCGAACACGCGAAAGATAATGTCTTTGAGAATCACTTGAAAGCTGCTCGTTACCACGACTGGGATCAACCACAGGAAACTGTAGTTGCACCAGCAGAAAAGACTGAAAACATTCAAAAAGAAGAGCAAGTGCTTGAAACTTATGATGCAGTGCATACGCTTGAGGAGAAGGAAAAGAATGAAGAAAAAGAGGGAGAGGCAAAACAGGGAGAGGCAAAAGAGGGAGAGGCAAAACAGGGAGAGGCAAAAGAGGGAGAGGACCTTGGTGCAGGTGCAGTTCCACAAGATGCCAAAAAAGTGGCATCTCAACCGCAACCAGAAGTGATAGAACAGCCAGAATTGTATGGACATAGATACATTGAGCCCGAACGAGTATTCAATGAGAGTTCAAATTTTTTCCCTGTTCATATTCTTCAAGATTTGGAGAAAGTCGATATCAGTCAAGATTCTAATACTTTTGTGTCTGATGAGATGAAAGTGGCGCATTTGGGCGCTGATGTATCTAGATATAGCCAAAACAATGAGATTCTAGAGGAGAAGGGACTCATAGAAACCCATGGTTTTGACAATAGTTTCACCGAGGATCAAACACCCTCTCATATCCAAGACGATGAAGAGTTTATTCAAGTGACTCCGAAATTGTTTCCCTGGGAGTTTCGAGAACAATACAGACCAGAAAGAAGTTTTGATTAGCATGCATACTAATTTAATAAAAATTGAGGGGGGGGGGTAACCTCTTGGAACAAAAGTTTCCAAAACCTCTTGGAAAAGTTTTTAAAAACAACCTCTTACTAAAATGCTCGTAACTTATCTCCTATATATCTAATGGCTGCGAAAAAGAGTCAAAAAAGACTACTTATCTTTAGTTGCTTTATCTTTTTTGTCTGATTCGCACTCTGTCGTGTAAATCGGAGAAAAAAATATCTTTTTTTTAGGCTTTTTTTTTTTCAAATTTTTTTAACAATAAATTTTCACATCGCTTAAAATTTTTTTTCTTTTTTTTTTTTTTTTTTATATTACTTCTTCACCTAGTCATCGACAAATTATGGCATCCGAAGGAATTACCGAAATCGACTCTGGTTTGATTGAATCAAACTATGATAACGTTGTTTACAAATTTGATGATTTAAACTTAAAGCCATCTATTGTTAGAGGTATTTTTGGTTACGGTTACGAAACCCCCTCAGCCATTCAACAAAGAGCTATTTTGCCAATTACTGAAGGAAGAGATGTTTTAGCACAAGCTCAATCAGGTACGGGAAAGACAGCTACTTTCACCATCTCTGCTTTGCAAAGAATCGACGAAGAGGAAAAAGCAACCCAGGCTTTGATCTTGGCTCCAACAAGAGAGTTGGCTTTGCAAATCAAAAACGTTATTTCATCGATTGGATTATACTTGAATGTAACAGTCCACGCATCAATTGGTGGTACTTCCATGAGCGATGATATTGAGGCATTCAAGTCCGGTGTTCAGATTGTTGTTGGTACTCCTGGTAGAGTTTATGACATGATTGAAAGAAGATACTTCAAAACCGAAAAAGTCAAGATGTTCATTTTGGATGAAGCTGATGAAATGTTGTCATCTGGTTTCAAGGAACAAATTTACAACATTTTCAGATTGTTGCCAGAAACCACTCAAGTAGTCTTGTTATCAGCTACCATGCCTCAAGATGTCTTGGAAGTTACTACAAAATTCATGAATAACCCAGTGAGAATCTTGGTCAAGAAGGATGAATTGACTTTGGAAGGTATCAAACAATTTTATATCAATGTTGAAGTTGAAGATTACAAGTTTGATTGTTTGGTTGACTTGTACGATTCCATCTCAGTTACTCAGGCTGTTATCTTTTGTAACACCAGATCTAAGGTTGAATTTTTAACAAACAAATTAAGAGAACAAAACTTTACCGTTTCTGCTATCCATGCAGATTTACCACAAGTTGAAAGAGACACTATTATGAAAGAGTTTAGATCTGGATCCTCAAGAATTTTGATCTCCACCGATTTATTGGCCAGAGGTATCGATGTTCAACAAGTTTCTTTGGTTATCAATTACGACCTTCCATCTAATAAGGAAAACTATATTCACAGAATTGGTAGAGGTGGTCGTTTTGGTAGAAAGGGTGTTGCTATTAACTTTGTCACAGAAAAGGATGTTGGAATGATGAGAGAAATTGAGAAATTCTACTCTACTCAAATCACCGAGATGCCTGCTGACATTGGTTCACTTTTCGCTTAAAGAGAGACACATTGTGGAGCTGCGTTAACCACACCGACAGTATTGTCTCACAGTATTGTCTCACAGTATTGTCTCACAGTGTTGTCTCAAGTGTGTTGTGTGTTGTGAAAAGCCAAAGCCAAAAAAAGAATAAAAAAAAGAAGAAAAGAAAAAAATGTCCTCCTCCCCCCTTTATTACTTATCCAAATTATCAAGTTATTCTTTTTTGTTAAAACGTATGACAAGCTGTAAATATACGTCTTGTTAGTAATAGGGGTTGTGGTATTATCAAAGTAAAATGACATTGAAGAGAAAATTTTGGTGAATATTATCTCTTGAATTATACTTCTCATTGCTCGTTTCTCTTAGTTTCAGTTTTTTTTTTTAATTTTTCTCTTCCTTCTTGATCTATTCATACTGAGCGGCGTTAAGGATTCAACTAGGCCAACTGGCATGACAATACAGCTTGTTATAACGACTGATTCAAGAGTGCAAAGATTGTTATTTTTTGCTTACATATAGTCACACGGTCTTTTTTCTCCCCCCCCCCCCCTTTCCATGCTGGGGCATCAAGTTTCAAGGAGGATCCCTGGTTCCTATCCTATCACTACCCGCAATGAACCAATGAAATTCTGGGGTAGCAAGAACACCACGAATGCAATGCAAGTGGCCAGTGAAGTGGTTGAAAGCGAGTTCGAAACGAGGTTTACTTGTAACCGAATAGTCCATCGCAAAACTGAAGACCAACATCATATTATGGCGCAACTCGAAGGATTATGTTATATTTTGATATTTTATCAATTTTCAAAGTTTTGCTATAATGCATGTCTCATACCTACATTGTGCCACATCGTACAGTTAACAATCCTTAATCACAGACTTGTCATCAGCCTGTACGCCAATATATTTTTACAGGCTTTATCTGAAGACGTGGACAATGAATCCAGAATCAATACATTACGTGGAAAAATACCGACAATTTGTAACAATCTATATTTCAAGACTGTTTTTGTATTAGTATATCATACATTGTTTGTTTGCACTTGGATGGTTTCGTTGGTTAACGAGGAAAAATTATCACAGTTGGAGAATGGTACGTGGTGGTTCATTTCGTTCATAGGCGAAAAAGTACCAGTAATATCGCCACAAGCCTCTTTCTGGATTAAGATTGTCAAATTAGGTCTACCGCAATTGTTGATTTTAGATCTCGTAATCTTATTTTTACAACTAATTTTGCTACAATGTATTTTTAAGCAAAGTTCTGTTTTTAGAGGAGGAAGAACAATGGGCGATAAGGAAGTGTATTTGATTAGAAGTAGGAACTCGGGATACGAAGTTCAAGGAGACGATAGTTTGGAAGATTATGGACAGGGTGTTATCCTTGCTTTAAAAGTGCGACTATATGAAACTTTTCAATTTGATTCTTTTTCCACATAGAAAAGAGTGTTTAAGATATACATGACAAGGCAATTCCCAATTGCAAATTTCCTCCCCCTTCTCCTTTCATTCAGAGCTATCTTTGGTGCACTTTCAGCAAGTGAAGGACAAATAATTGTGTTCACATATTTCATCGAGACATTTTGTCATGATAACAATTTAAATGAAAAGAAGGGAGAGAAGTACTTGGTTCTTTCTATTCCGGTGGAAAAACGAACCTATAATGTTAAGCAAAGACGAGCTATTCTTTTTGTAGTTACTGTATGGATCGTTACCACAAGCGAGTTTGGTCAAACCAAGGAATGAACTTATTGATGAAATAAGGGTTCATTAACCAAAGAGAAAAAGAGAAATAAAAAGGAATGAAAAACTATTTGTTGAGCCTGCCCCCTCTTCCCTGGGTGATTTTTTTTTTCAATAAGAAGCAGTGTGTCGACTTCTTGTTGCTCATCGTAAGCAATTGCATATAGGCTTAGTTGTTAATGATGGAAATCGAAACGCGTCTTTGTTGATTTCAAATACATGGTAGTATTTTTTTATTTTTTTTTTATTTTTTTATTTAAATTTTTCACTTTCTGTTTAATTGTTTCTTCTTCACGTCAAACCACCGTATTAACAAAAATGACCACTGAATCTGTAAAGAAACAAAAGTTGGAATCAAGCGAAAACTTGAAAGTGTTTTTACGCTCTGACAAAGGCAAATTACCAACTAAAGGGTCACTTTTGGCAGCTGGCTACGACTTATATGCATCGGAAGCAACTACCATACCGGCTCAAGGTCAAGGGTTGGTCAGTACAGACATTTCAATAGTAGTACCGGTTGGTACTTATGGTCGAGTTGCACCACGTTCAGGATTGGCTGTCAAGCACGGAATCTCTACTGGTGCCGGGGTAATTGACGCCGATTATCGAGGTGAGGTTAAAGTGATTTTGTTTAACCACTCCAAAAACGACTTTGAGATCAAGGCAGGAGACAGAATTGCACAATTAATCTTGGAAAGAATAGTCAATGCAGAGATCGAAGAAATTAGTGAAGCTAGCTTGACCAGTACTGACCGTGGAGAAGGAGGATTTGGGTCCACTGGAAAGAATTGATATATATATTTTAGTGAAAGAAGAAGAGAATTAAAAAAAAAAAAAAAAAAAAAGACAAGGAAAAATACTGTACAAATAATTTAATCAGATTTTACTCATGAATCTATAAACATGTTCTTTACTTCAACTCTTTCTATTATTGAATAAGGGGTAATGCTTGATTTTCAAAATAATAAAGTTATCAAGACTGTTTCTTTATATTATCTTCAGCCGGTTTAGTCAAATCTTCATTTTTGAGTGCTTCGGAACGAGTTTTCAAAGATGAGTCTTGTGGATTTTCAACTTCCTTGTTATCGGAATTTTTTTCTTCTTTTTCTTCTTTTTCTACCTCTGTGTCTGGGTCTTTTTCATAATTCACTCCATCACTTGCAGTATCTTCATAATCGTCCAAATGAATATCATCCTTGACATTGTTTACTGTATCTTTCTCTCTCTCATTTTCCTCTTCAATCAATTCATCTTGCTCTTTCAAAATATTCAATTTCAACTTGGAGTCATCGGCCAATTCCAATTTGGCAACGTTATACACTTCATCAGGGATCGATGACAATACAGCCAACAATGCATCGTAGTATGTTTCAGCATCCTTGTCTTTACTGCCATAAGTATAAGCAGTACTCAAAATCAACAAGGTTGAAGGTATCTTTTGTCTTAATCTCAAATCCAACCAGGTTTCCAAGTCGTCTCTTAATCTGGCAGGAGAAACGTCGCTTGTTTTAATACCTCTTTGAGAGCACGCCATTTGCAACTCTGGGATTGTCAATGAATTGACACCCTCGTAATCAATTGCTTTGTCATCTTTGATAATATTCAACAACCTGTGTCTGATTTGGTACCGCAAAATGGAATCCGTTCCAAATGGTCTTAAAGACATGTATTTACACATAGCAACCAATTGGTGACGACTCAAGTTATCCAAAACCTGATCATTCTTAAAGAGTCTTGCCACTTGAATCAATTGTTCTCTGGTTGGGTTTTTACCCAATGATATTGCTTCGAAAAACTGGATAAACGCTTCTCTCTCTGAATCAGTAATCTTTTTGGACAATTTTAACCCGGATTGCTCCATGGTTTGTTTAATGTACTCACTGGCTGCGTTTCTAGTCTTTCTTAATTTAGCCTTTTTCTTTTGACGATCCTGTTTGGATTCATAAGTTGATGGCAACAAGTTAGGAAACAATTTCAATGCAACAGGAAGCAACAATTCGGCAAAGGGAATGATGACAAACATTGCGAATGGAACTAATCGAACTACATCAACAATAGTTCTCTGCAACTGGTTTGATTCTCTTCTACTCAAGCCGTATCCAGCCATCAACTTAATCAATAACTTTGTAGAGACTTTGATTTCGTAGCCCAAAAGCTTCGTTCCTGTCCAATAATGCTGCGCCTCATGTTTGACCTTTTCCCACAAACTCTTTTTCCCCTTTTCGGGAGTAGTAGTTATAGAGGTAGTTGTGGTAGTTGTGGTGGTAGGATCGGCTTTATTCGCTAATTGCGTTGTTGGCGAATTGTCCAATTTTTCAAGCGACTTTGTTTCTGTCTTGTCATTATCCAGTTTCAATTGACTAGACTCGGTCTTGGCACTAGTAATTTGAGGCTCTTTTATTGATTGGAATCTTTGTGGCAGCTGCGAATAACAATGTATACCAGTCCTGTGGAAACTTCTTGTATGAGTTCCGGGGGACAAGGGGAATCTTACGGAACCCAGAAACGTCAGCTTGGAAAGGTTTCGAAGGGCAATACGCTGGAAAAGCGTTCCATTATATCCGACTATCTCCTTCTTGAGCATTGAAGTTGAGCTCATACTTCTTAATGGGAAAACAGGGGGAGAAGGGGCAAAAAAAATACAAAAGACAGATATGCAGTTATCTCTCTCCTATCATCCAACCAAGTTGATGCGTTAATACCAATATATTCGTATGGTCTTGTTAACGAACGTGGCGGGATTATATAAATATAAAAACTTGAAAAATTTCCCTAGAGTGAAATTTTTAGGCTTTTGATAAACGGAAATATTTTCCATACAAGAAAAAGAAGTATTAAGTAAAGCAGCACAGAGATATTTTTAATCGGCTACTAAGAAAGTGTGTGCGAGATGGCGCGATGGCGAGGTGCCGAGATGGGAAGATGGCGAAAAGGTAAAAAAAGTGCGGGACGAAAAGAGAAGAAGAAGAAGGCGAGAAATTGCCAAAGTGGAGGGCGAGAAAATTGCGACACTAGAGAGCAAGTGGAACAAGAGAGTAGAGAGTAGTGGACCAGGTGAATAGTGAGACTCGGTAATTGGTAAATAGTGAGACTCGGGCTACTTTCTACTTGCTACATACTGCTCCACTAGCTCGCTACTCTCTACTCTCTACTTACTGCTCCACTATCTCGCTTTGCTCGCTAGTGTCGCTACTCTCTACTCTCTACATACTGCTCCACTAGCTCGCTTCGCTCCCTAGTGTCGTATTTGTCAAAGTAGTCAGTTGGTATTACGCGATAAAAAAACTTATCCCCATAGAGCCAATTTCCGATAAAAACTTTCCCCCTAGAGCCAGTTTCCGGCGGGTCAAATTTCACCTGGGGCAGAAAAGAAGGGGTTCTACAACAGGAAAAGAAGGGGTTTCTACAACAGGAAAAGAAGGGGTTCTACAATAAGAAATGATGCGACATTAGCCCTGTTTTATATATCTTGTGTTTAGTATCACTAGTCAATGCTCCACTATCTCGCTTCGCTCGCTATTAAGTGCTGCTCCACTATCTCGCTTCGCTCGCTATTAAGTGCTGCTCCACTATCTCGCTTCGCTCGCTATTAAGTGCTGCTCCACTATCTCGCTTCGCTCGCTATTAAGTGCTGCTCCACTATCTCGCTTCGCTCGCTATTAAGTGCTGCTCCACTATCTCGCTTCGCTCGCTATTAAGTGCTGCTCCACTATCTCGCTTCGCTCGATAGTGTAGCAGCACAAAGAAAACTTATCGTTTTCCCAACAGAGAAAGTGTTTTTTGTTTTTTCAAGTCTCCAGTAACACCAATGATTAGCACTTTTGCAACAGTAGTGTGTAAATCTTCGTCGTCTCCGTCAAAAAAGAAGCATAAACTCTGTACGTTTTGAAATTTGACATACTTTAATCTGATCTCTATCCATTTCTCTGTACCTTCCTTACAGTCAAGAGTTTCCAGGTGAGGTGCATTTCTATCATTCGCAGCATCCTCAAACGAAATCATATGCCGCAAATTTGGCCATATTTTGATCACACGAGGTACTTGAATTTGACTAAACTCTTCATCATCAATGATCAGGCTATCTGTAACAACTAGTGGTTTTATCTTGATCAAAATCGAATAGACTTTGGATATGTTTAACAAGGGAACCAAAAATAGCATTTGTGAGTCGGAATCGGAGATCACACTACTGTTTGGTACTGCTCTACTGTCTACTCTAAAGGGCTTTTCCACCGTGCAACTTTGGTATACCTGTTTGACATTGTGCGCCTCAAACGATCGAAACTCTATATGGGTGTTTATTACGTCGAATCCAGAGGGAATGAAATCCCTAATTTCTTCACTGTGTGAGTTGAGCCTGGTCTTTACCTTTGGTTCGCCATTACCCTGCCTATCCTTTCCCCAAGAGATTTCGTTGAACAATTGAAGTTCCTTCATGAGCATTTCAGTATTTGGACCCTGGACCCTGGCCTCCTCATGTCCATCTTTGAAAAATATGAATGTGGGAATAGAACTGACTGTGTACTTGGCAGCCAATGCTTTCTGCCTATCCAAATTGACTCGAACAAACTCAACATACTGAAATACGGTATACATTTTGTCAATAACCGGCGAAATTGCGCGACAAGGTCCACACCACGAAGCAGTAAAGTTAGCAACAACAGCCCTATTGTTCTTCAAGTAATTGTCAAAATCCTCTACCGATCTTACAAAGCAAATGGCCATTTTGGACTCGTCTTTGGATTTGGATATATGATTATTGTTTACCAATGATAACCCTATACAACTTTTGTTAATGAGGTTTAATTTTTATATAGAGGGGAAAAATAAATTACAATTAGAATACGATACAATTACAATACAATTTTTATATGGTGTGATAAACCATTGCAATATAGTAAATTTTGACGGACTAAATATACATCAGAGGTGCAGATGAAGCATGACTCGGCATTATCACCACTCCGACTATATGACATCAAGTCGAAAAAATATGCCAAGCCTCAAGCACGAGACACACTTCGGACATCGGCCAAACAAATTATGCCATTGGCAAATAAGAGCAGTAGCGATGTTAACAAAAAGGAAGGGAAAGGGGAGCTTAAAACAAGACAATTACAATTACAATTACAGCAGGAATCCCAGTCTTCTAGCGCGTCCTCTCTTACACGGGCAGGTACCGCTCTGTCAAATCTGGTAAAAGACTCCTCCTTCTCCCCTACCATTGCCAAGCAAGATCTGCTACTAGTAACAAAAGACAATATGAAGAAAGCAGCTGACTTATCATCACTATTCCTTGACACGAGAAACTTGCTCCAAATGGACTGCAATGTCCTTGACTCTACTGCGAAGGATGCTTCAGCACATCCACGAAATAGTACATCTGCTGTTGTGCCCAAAATTTCCAGAAGCACAATGATAAGAGCAGAAAAAGTCAAAACCATGATAGCCGTGAAATACTTGTTTATTCAGAGGATATACGAATGGCAAGAAGCAAATGGCGCCAATAATGAACATCCGGGTATAGAAGGAGTATATAACCCGTTGCAGATTTTAAGAAACAGAAAAATCAGGGCTAAATATAATGAGTACCCTAAACCCCTACATTCTAAAACAATACCATTGGCATGCAACGTGTTTAGTAAACATAATAGATCTGACAAGCATCACAAAAAAGACTGGCGAATGTTATGGGCAATCGAGTTGAATGAGTATGTTGGAGACCCTCGTTGGAGAGTGAACCACTGGCATGAGCTTAGAAATCCAAAGGGCGAATTATGGTTTCCTCCTAAAGGCGGCAACGAATCTCCCAAAACAGTTGTAAAGCGAAAGAAACATAGGTTTAGACATCGACTACATGACAAATTATTTGAACTGTCGGATGAAGAAGCGAGGTATGACGAAAAAGAAAGAGATAGAGATAAAGATGGACGTGATTCCAATATGGTGGGTGCATCTGAAGGCCGGAGAAGGCTCTCAAATGAGCAATCAACAGGTTCGGAAAGTGATGTACACTTGGTAAAAGTGGGAAGGTCCAGATCGCCTCATAAGAGACGTTTGCGGTCGAAAGTGAAAAAGTTTTATCAAGGAGACTCTTCGTCTTCCTCGAATATATTGAAACAGCTTCTCACTACGGAGGATTCTCGGCATGAGACTTCTAAAGAAGCTTTGAACATACCCTCTATAGAGTTGAATATCGATGACCTACAAATAGTCGACGAACATCAGCGAAAAGCTCAAGATTCTGCACCGGCCAACAACGAAGACCATGCAACTGTTCCCATAATTCGAATTGATCCATCTGCAACAAACTCAAAGGAATTCCATGTTCAAGATGTACAGTTTAATCACTTACGACGAGATACAAAACTGGAAGATACTTCAGAAAACAACCTTTCTGATAACAATGACAAAGAAGAAGAAGAAGGTGGTGGTGGTGACAGCGGCACTATTACTAAGGACACTAATAGCACAAAAGTTGTTTATCAAGGCGAGAAACACTTTTTGGAAATTGCTACATTTTTGGACTATTTTCATCAATGTTGTTTGAACCGTATGGAATATTTATTAACTACCTATCCCTTGTATTTGCAGCTCCTCCAAAAAAAGATTGATGGGACCATTTCCGGCTCCATATACGAAATTTTGGAGCAAATGTCTAGTATCAATGATGATGAGTTACCTGCTTATGAAGAGCTCTATTTGGGTTTTTTGGAAGAAACAAAGTCAATTTTACATATGGTTAATGACAACTATTCAATCAGGATTGATACTTTGTTGAGCACGAGCGATCGTTCTATATCGGAGATCAACGCATCGCTATCGTTAGATTTGAGAAAGACGGGGGAGAGGTTGGACACCTTAGAAAGTTCATTGTTGTTGAATCGCAATTTAAAAACAGAACTCATACATGATGCAACTGACTACAAAGTACTATATCTTCTTCTAGAAAATTTGATAGTTGTCTTGCTCAAACTAGTATGGATTGTTGTTAATATTTATAAAGGGTTTGCATTCTTTGTGAAAATTCTTTGGAAACTAGTTAAACTATCTATAACATGATGAACGCTGAATTTGAATGAGGAAAGAAAAAATTAAAAAAATGAGTGAACGAATAAATGAATAAATGCCCCCCCCCTCCCTTTTTTTTTTGTTGGAAGCCACTGTTATTTTCTAGTTTGGGGGTTTTAAAAGAGATGCACTATTTATCAGATGGTACCCTCGAATTTGGCTATTTTCTCTGATAATTCATTGAACATTTGAAAAACGTCGTCGGTTTCACTCTTGTTCCACTTTCGACTTCGTATTGAGATATTTTCCTCCTCCTCGTCCTTAGACACCTTCAACGTCTGCAATATCCATGTTTCCTTCAAACTTCGCAGTATTGACAACATATCCTGACACAATCGTATTATTTGTATGGCATTGTTCTCGATCGTAAGCGACTCTACAGCTAAAACTTCCTTTGGCTTTGCATCGTTCTTCAAAACTTCAAAAACATCCTGAAACTTAACGAGTAACTGCTCAACAATTGAGTCAATCTTCTGTAGTAGCGTTATGGACTTTGGCTGCATATAGAGAGTTTAGGTCAATGTCTTGTTTATTGGTTTAACTTGTAAACGAATGAGTTTTGGTTTTTTTTTTTTTATTTTTCTTTAACTTTTTCAGACAGACAAAAAAGAAAAAAGAAAGTGTCCCTTCATCCAACAACAGATACCTTTTGGTAAGTAGATATTCAAGAGTTGTCTAATGTTTATTACAAATTACCCTAAAAAAAAAAAGAAAAAGTTACAAAGCTCGAACTCGCTAATTCCCGAATGGTGAAGTAGGCCTTGAAGCCATTCTACTCACGTTTCGACTAGCGCTAACTGAATCGTCTAGATTGGCGGCTTGACTCTGTTCTTCGAACAAGTTGACAAACTTTTGCACTTTACCCACCTTGATAAATTTAAACTTTTTATTCTTTTTAATGTAAGTCGGTACGTCAGTTGAATTCAAATTATAGGCGTACTCCAAGCCAAATGTCTCGTCGCTATTAATCATGGCTAATGAGTGACCAGAAGACATCCTTGATAAAGATTTACGTTGTTTCAGTGGTGACTGAAATGATGATTGCCGTGACACTCTAAAAATTTCACCATCACCTCCTCCTCCTTCTCCTACCCCATTGCCATTTTTAACCGGCGACGAATTTGTCAATCGATGGTCCTTTGAATTTCTTCTATAATAAGTTTCATCCTCATTGACGTTTTGTTCATATTCTACTTCTACCAAGTCGTCCATATTGAATTGTTGAAAATTGAAATTTGATGTGAATAAAGGCGAAAGTGGACTCACAGGTTCACTAATTGTATTCTTCTTAACCACATTTCTTGTTTGGCTTTTGGTTGCCTCTATTATTTTTGCCGCTTCCTTTTCATTTTCATTTTCCCTTTCCCTTTCCTTTTCCTTTTCCTTTTCCTTTTCCTTTTTCTTTTTCTTTTCCTTTTCCTTTTCTTTTTCCTCTTCCTCTTCTTTATCGTTATGTCTCAAGTTACTCAAATTTTCCAAAAACTTATTACTTTTTTTACTGGATAGCTTTTCTTCTTCACTTATATCGCTAAATCTTCTTTTAAATTCATCTATCAAAGTTTCATTCGACGCAAGAGGCTCTATCTTACATATCTCATTCTCAAAGGAACGGTCAAATTCTTCGTCTCCGCTACCTTCGAAAGTTGAGTCACTACTAGCATCTGAATTTGCAACCAATGCAGTATTGATTCCATGCTTTGCGTCTTCCTCAGTATTGATTCCATTTTTTGCGTCTTCCTCGGTATTGATTCCATGTTTTGCGTCTTCTTCCCTATTGACTCTCATTTTATCGTATACCAACTGAATATACTCTGCGATTTTGTATATAAGCTCGTCACTTGGATCGTAGAGCTTTAAAATACTGTAATCCTCATTTTCCACAAGATGAATGTTCTTGAGCCTATTCACGCTGAGACTTAGAATAAAACGAACAATAAAAGTCTCATTTGATGATTTCAATGCATGTGGCTGGATAGTAGTAGTAGAAGAAGCAGAAGAATATAATGATGTTACTTTCTGCTGAAGAATATCGTGCAAGTAACTATTCAGCTGTTTCGTAGAACCTAGTACATTGTGTTTCTTAGCAACTGAGATCATGTTTTTCTGTAGCAAAATGTCAAACTTTGGCCGCAGCAAGGGGCTCCTCGTAGCCAAGATGTTCAACTCGACATTAACAGTGACTTCAAAAGGAATGTTTTCGCATTGCATTTCATGTGACTTTATCTTGGACCATGCAATGGAATGTATTAATGCCGCCACTTTTTGAGGAATATCTGAGGAATGAATAAAGTTTGGTTTGAAGCTATCGTTTGAATGTCCCATTTTAGGTGTCAGCCCTAACTCAATGACCCCTGATATCTAGAGTCTTTTACTAGTGTCACTAGTCAATACTGCTCGATAGTGTTTCCTTCCTAGAGCCAAAAAAAAAAAAAAAATGAGTTTTCTTCCTCTTTGCTGGACCTTTTTCCGTATAGCTAGCAAAATTCCTGTAACTAACACCCTTGACCTATAACAATTACTAAAGTCAATGCCCTATCTCTCAATCAAACAGGTATACCAATCCACTAATCAATAACAGGCTTATTCCTTTGGGGGGAGGTTTAGTGCAATTTGCTTGTTTGTTTTTGTTTTGTTTTACACTTGTGTCGTGTGTCGTATTTTGTGAATGTCAAAAATAAGATGTGACACTATCGAGCGGAAGACACTGACTATTGACACTATCGAGCGAAGCGAGATAGTGGAGGACACTGACTACACTGACTACACTGACTACACTGACTACACCGACTACATTTGGTAGATAATATAAACTCTAAATAATAATACACTAGATAATACACTCTAGATAATACACTAGATGATACTCTAGATAATACTCTAGATAATAATATAAACTCTAGCCAATAATATAAATCAAGAAAAACCAGCTTATGGACTGTATTCAGTAATTAAGCACTGCGAGTTGTAACCAACTCCTACAGTGTGTGGTTGAGGGTTTGTACACCACTATGTAATCCCCTATAAAATAATTACTATAAAACGACCCCTTTGAAAATTACTATAATCACCCTCTGAAAATTACTATGTAATCACCCTCTGAAAATTACTATGTAATCACTACTATAAAATCACTACTACAAAATCACTACTATAAAATCACTACTATAAATTAATTAATAAAATCACTACTATTAATTAATGTTACTATAAAATAATTACTATGGAATCATTACTAAATAATCTGGGCACTACCAATTTTTCGGGGCACTTTCTTATTCAACTGACATACACGTGACCGGGCAATCGGATATATTTACTCAGTGTGTGTGTGTTTGATTTTGTTTAATATGTTGCTTGCGTAATATTTATATAAGTCTATACTACAGATATAGTAAGGTAAACAAGTTCTTAACTATGTCTTCGTATTACTTTGCCATTATCGGAACGCGCGATAATCCGTTATACGAAGTAGAGTTTTCATCTTTCAAAAATGCCACATCTACTCTTACACCATCCTCATCTTCGTCATTAGTAGGAACTTCTCCAATAAATAATAGTGGAGGAGCTCATATTCCTGGCAGATCTCAATTTACACCGCCTACTAAAGAAATTTTGCCATTTATAGCCCATTCGAGTCTTGATTTAATAGAAGACCAAATGTGGTCGTCCCAAGCTCTAAATTTGGGCAAGATTGACCAATTTTATGGAATATCAATAAGTGCATACTTGACTCAGGGAAATATCAAATTCATATTATGCTACGACTCAAGCAAGGAAGAAAATACTATTAAACAGTTTTTCCAGGACGTTAATGACCTTTACGTAAAGACCCTCATGAACCCTTTTTACAATGTCAACGATGCAATTATTTCACCGGATTTCGACTACAAAATTAAACTAGTAGCAAAGAAATACTTGTGATAATATGTACACTGTACACTAGCGAGCGGAGCATATATACACTATCGAGCAGAGCATATATACACTAGCGAGCAGAGCGAGATAGTGGATTCACTATTTTACTCCATACATACAGTCCTCGATAGTGTCGCGATAGTGGATTCACTACTTTACTCCATACATACAGTCCTGCTCCACTATCTCGCTTCGCTCGATAGTGTCGCGATAGTGGAATCACTAATTTACTCCATACATACAGTCCTGCTCCACTATCTCGCTTCGCTCGATAGTGTCGCGATAGTGTCGCGATAGTGTGTCCTGGTCCACTATCTCGCTTCGCTCAAAGGTTCTTTCAATACTGGCTCAGTATCAATCTTATAATTGCCATCGCCAATATCAACAATGATACCCTGCTGTTTCAAAGTGTCAAACATATCTTGAGGCAACCAACCACCTGTGGCGCCGAATGGACTAGAAACTGTTTCTAATTGGTGCTCACTCAACTTCAGCTGATGTTGGTCTAAAAATGTTTCATCATATTTGACGGGGAACTCTTTATCGTTGCTATCTTGATTGGCAAGCTCATTGGCTACGTAAGCTTCCCACATCGCCTGCAACTGAATGATAGAACCTTCAACATAGAGGTAGTCCTTTGGATGCTTAAGATCAAGTGCTTGCAAGTATGGCGATTTGAGTACCTTCAAATGAGGTGACGCAATGGCAATCAATTCGTGTCTGTTTTTGTTCAACTCAACTTCCCAAAGCCTTTCGTTTCTCGTTTTGTAATACATAAACTCATACTGTTGTTTTTCCACTGGATCCATCTCATCGAACCCGGGAATATCTTCCTTTAAGTTGTAGACTTTTGCTCCATGGTATGCGACAAAATTTGGATAGCTCGTCAATACAAAAGGCTTAATAGTTGACCCTTCAAAATCAATAAAATACGGTTCACCTTTTGTAGAATCAATCACATTCAAAGGATCCAAATCAGGTACATAAAGTTTTGGCTGAAACAATTTCTCAACATTTTTGATGGATTTGGATTTGGGATTAAGTAGCTTTGGCGTGATTTGCTTTAAATGCTCAAACGTTGTAATTTGGTCTTTTAAAAGGTCCTTTTTCTCAGCAACATCTCCAGCATCTGCATCGACAATGGCCAATTTATGTTTTGCATTTTCTAATTCAATATTTGCAACAGAAGACATCACTTCCAAGGGATTAGATGCGTCCCATGGACCACTGTGCTCGTCAATCACGCCCTGGGGTAATTTATTTTTGCCCTTGGTAAAGTGTTTCTCAACACTTTTGCCTATCCTCCATCTTTTGGCCAAAGCTTCATTTGTCTCCCCCTCGTATGGCTCTTGCTCCTGTAGCTGTAGACTAACGTCATTATAGAAATACAATGATCCAAACTTGGTGAAAGTCGGCAGTAAAACCTTATCCTGAAATTTGGCAATAGGATCGATGACTTGTTTCAAATTACTTTCAGTCTTCTCTGAGTCGGCTTCCAAGGGATGCCATTTCTTCATTAACAATTCCCCCTCAATAAACTCCTGAAGCATAAAGGGAGATCCTATTTCATTATTTCTCGTTGGTCCATATGCAACTACCTTTGGCACATTTAAGTTCAACTTTAAATCCAAAAAATCCATCGTTGCAACCTCGCTTCGAATCTTTGAGGCAATTGCTGCATCGGAATCTAACTTGTAAGGAATCCTCAATACCAATTCTTTCCCATTGGCTAAGCTGACTTTATAAATTCGGTGGTGTTTTCCCTCGTGAATTGAAGAAATCGACTTGACCAAAGGGCTATTTTCCTTATCTCCAACAATATCGTCGGTTACATTATTCTGTAGAACAAATATTCCCTTGTGCTCTTTTGGCGCTTCAGGTGTTGTACTACTGCTTCTAAGAGTATTTATCTCATGAAGAAACGAGGTAAGTCCTTCTATAGAAAACACAGTTTCCCGTTGTTTTTTCTGAAGTTTATCGTTCTGAAGCCAAGAGCCCCAAGAATACTGGAAAAATTTGCTTCTTGCAGGATCATCCAAATCAGATAGCTTGGTATATACTTCCTTCGGTTTCAGTGCACCATCGGGCGTAGATGTTGCCAATTGTCTCGTACCACCACATACTAAAGGCCCAATTGAACAGCACCGGGCTATAGATGATCTCGACCTGAGGTTTCTGTCAACTATTCTTCTCAACATAGCTGTATGAAAAAGGCTAGGGGGGTTAAACAATAAGCATTATTAAAGGAAGTAGAAAAAAAAACTTGAAAGGTAAACTCTAATAGTACAAGCACGTGACTTACTACATTTGAAGAATATATTGCGATATTGTACGTTATGATACATAAATAATTCATCTACTACATAAGGAAGCTCTTTCATCTCATGCTACTGCTCAGACATTTCAATTGTAGATCCGTTCTCATTATCGTTGTATATGGAAGTTTGATGTAGGCTAGCGACACTTGCATTTTTACTGTCATATGGTTTAACGTTTATTTCGTCGTAATTGACAAGCTCATTTTCATCCTCATCCTCATCCTCCTCTTTCTCCTCATCCTCCTCTTTCTCCTCATTTTCACTGTTGTATTGTGTTGTGTGAGGCAGCAGCAGTCGCTGCAGAAACAGATCGTCCTTAATATCCATATTGTTATTATCATTAATGTTATTATTCTCAAAGTAAACATTAGGACTAAACCGATGTAGGTTCCTACCCTCTATGCCATCTTTTGTTGCCGTTGTTGATAAACATGAGATTGTGGAATTTTGTGATAACGGCCGCAAATACGGGTCTCGTATTATTTTCTCTCTGGTATCCTCATAGATGCGAAAACCATAATTCTCTTCATTCTTATCAGTCATATGTTTTTGATAGCTGGAAGCAGATGAAACAAGAGAAACATTGGTTTCAATAAACTCGGGGTTCCTAATCAAGCGGATACACGCTGGTTCTTCCAAAGCCTTTAAATTTTGCAAGGTAACTTTAGTCTTGCCAGTAGTTTGGTTGGCCATTGTCGGATTCCAAGCAAGTTTTTCGTCAGATGGTAACAGTGAAGTATCAGCACTGATGAAAGGTGATCCTGTTAAGTCAACCATGGGTACAAGTACAGGTACAGGTGTAGATGCAGAATCTGTATTCATAAAGTCCTCGGGAGGAGATCTCAGCGAAGTGACCGGGTGTGACATTCTAAGCAAAAAAAAAAAAAAATGTTGCTTATAGCACAATTCACAAAAATCTAATCAGAGATTAAACGTAAAGTGAAAGTAGGAATTGGTACAACTTACTCTATCATCAATGATAACTTGATAAATGTAAAAAATCCAGAAATATATATATATACAAAAACAAAGGGAGAAAAAAAAAAACAAGAGGTGGATTTAGTAAGTTCTCAATTCAACAATCCTTCCTCCCTCCCTCCCCCCCTTAGATACTTAAAGTTGACACTCAATACATATTGTACATGGAAACTCAATGAAACCCTAAAAATCTAAAATGCGTGTAAACGTATTTTGCTAACTCAATTTTTAGTAATCACCCCACATAAAAAAAAAAATAAGATAGAGGATTGCGAGCTGCTACCATTTATTATTCAAGTGACTCCCACTTTTTCATAATAGAGTAACTTGAAGAATGTATATTGTTATAACTACTACATGACAAAAAAAGAAAAATAACAAGTATGATTCGGTAATGTATATATTTATTTAGCTTTCGAATCCATACATATACTGGCTGTCTATACACAAGTCAACAGAATGAACATTGAGGATTTCATGATATGAACTTGAAGCTCCCAACAATTCCTTGGACAAGTTGTCCATGTCGCTAGTGTGCCCATCTGTCAAGGTTATTTCCAATAGTTTTTGTTCAATCTGCTTAAACACTTCTGCACATTTTTTCGCAACAACCCAATCACTTCCAAAAGCTTGTAGTATTTCTATACAGTAGCATATCTCTGTTTTAGACTCCATCAAATCAATTGCCCATTTACATAAACAGTACAAAATTGTTGTACACACCATAAGGAACCGATACAAAGTTGTCCAATTCAATGGCAACGACTTTGATTTGAAAAGCTTATACGTGGATGACAACGTTTCCAAACATGCTCTACCCAAAATGTCCAACAAGTCTTGCAGTGGCTGTGGATTGAGGTAAGATGGTCGGTATAGTAAAATGAGCAAATGATTGTACCTCGCTGTGAACCAAGGTATCAGCGCTCTAAACGCAAGAGACTGTTTGGGTTTTGCAGCTAAAGTATCCAACTCATTGGCCTTCTTGTGCCACTCTTCAATCTCGTCGCGTAGTTCTTGGAGTACTTCTTGACAGAGCTCCTTTTCCAGCTTATTTTTATTGCGTAGATGTTTGTGAACGTTTACAGAATGCACTCTTCTTAAAATCTCGCCCTCAATATGTCGAAGGTGAATGACTAATCGATATGTCGTGATGTCATCAATCTCGTCGTCGTCAAGTATTTGTGGCAAGGGCACATTGATGTCATCATCGTGCAACGCAACCGGTCTTCCTAAAGTCACAGAAGTCAACCTGTCAATAGTATACACCGACCACAATAGTCTAGTCCTCATTTCCACTTGTCGAAGTGTCTTGTTTTTTGCTTCGTGTTCGGATATCGCCTGATTTAATCCCAAGTGGATCGCCATTCTTGCCAACTTCCCAGCAATCTCCCATGCAATAAATTCTGCCGGATTGAAGAAGGAATACAAAGCCAATAACATCAAGTTTTTCATACTAGTAATGTCATTCTTGCATATGTTATTGTGCACACTCGCCAACGCCATCGAAACAAAATACTCAGATATTCGCTTGTCTCTGCCTATAATCCGGGATCTTTCTAAATGGGTACTTCCAATGGCTAAAACCATGTATAATTCGTACTGATCTTCAAACTTGTCTAATAAAACCGTATCATCAGTTGAATCTGGTGATTTCTTAAATATTTTGTTAAATTTACTCAAAAACTCACTTTTGTTAATAACAGGACATATCCTGTATGTATGCATAAAAAAGGCATTCAGGATCCGACTCAATAATATCTGATCCGTTATTGGAGGTATAATACTTACGTTTGAGTTTGTTTTGATCCCAACTGCGCCATAAAGCACCTTGGATATTTGCTTGGGATACGCGTCAAAATTGGGTGCACACGCATCAATGGAACTTAATGACAATGTAGACTCGGGATATGACTTCTGGAGAAATTGAAGGGATGAACTGTGTTCTAGTGGCCGCGGTGGTGGCAAAATTGTATCTTGTTGATGAATTTGATGATGAGGTTGTTGCTGCTGTTGCTGTTGCTGCTGCTGCTGTTGTTGTTGTTGTTGTTGTTGTTGTTGTTGTTGTTGTTGTTGTTGTTGTTGTTGCTGCTGCTGTTGCTGCTGCTGTTGCTGTTGCTGTTGTTGCTGTTGCTTTGTTTTAGTCTCCAGATAGCTCAACCCGCTGTTTGTAGAATAGCCCCTAGCCCTTTCATCGCTTTCTTCATAGTTCAGAAAGGGGATTGGAAAATTGTCGCTTTTCTCCCCTACAAACGCAAATGTAGATTCATGTGTAGACACATGACGGTTTTCTCTCAAAGGTTGGTGGTCATGTTCTTTTGACGGCAGTGTGTTTAGCAGAGTTTGCCCTGTTGGTGATGCCGTACTTTCTTTAGATTCATTTATAACCGCCAGATCTGTATTGCTTGTCAGAAAATTATACTCCAAATCACTTGAAGCTAATCTCGGTTTCTTTACTGTTCTCTGTTTACGAGGAACATATTGACAAATCTCTCCTGCTTTGTCGCAGTTGGCACACTCAGGTATTGTTTTATCACACTTTTTTTTCAATTTTCTACATCTTAGACAACTTGTGATCTTTGCAGGATTCGTATCTGTCGGGGTGCTCACTTTGTCAAATGGCTCTGAAGACGATAGATTTGAACCAAACGTCCTGTTATTTGGCAAAAACTTTCGAACTCTAAACTTGGTTATGGTTGGATTAACAGATACCATTTTTTTTTAACACCTTCAATACAAATCTGTCTTCTTCTGGGAAAAAGAAAAAAAAGAAAAACTTGCAAACTGATAAGTCAGATACAATTTCGCCGCTACATGAAATTAAATTCAAATCGAGGTGGTTTTTCATGTTTTTTTTATTTTTTCGTGTGAGAAAAATTTAACGAGGTTTATGATTGTTGATATAAATGTGGAGAGAGAAGAACAAGAGAAAAAAGTCCGATAAGTATAACTGGTGGCGACGATATTGTTTGTATAAAAAAGCAATTATACTTTACTCAAAACTATGTACGTATTGGAGAGGGGAAAGGGTTAGCAATACTTGTTCATGTTTGTTTCCTATCTCTTTTATCTCTTTAAGGAAAAATTTACTCTTTGGTAATTTACTATTTTTTTTTTTTGTTCAGTTTTGTTGTTGCATGGATATGAACGATGATGAATGGATATATATTTGGTACAGCTTATTATATGTATTCAGAGTTCGCGATATATATACAACAACAACGGAAAAAAAAAGAAAAAAAAAAAACATTTTATTTTTAAGTAGGAATTCTTTTCTATTTGACACAACACGTGATACAAAATATATGGCGCGTTAGTAAGTGAGAGGAGATAAGCACAATAGTGGGAACATAAAAGCTATTTCTTTTGCTAAATTTTGGATTTGTTGATCTTTCCCACTTCAATGACACTTGATCTTTCTACACCGAGATTCAAAAGGATTGCTATTATTGGAGGTGGTCCAAGTGGATTAGCTGCCGCAAAGGCGTTGGCTTTGGAGCCAGTGAAATTCACGAAAATCGATGTATTTGAGAGGAGAGATAGACTAGGTGGGTTATGGTACCACAATGGAAACAAGGCTCTAGTTCACCCAGAAGTCCCAAGTACCGATCCTGGTGCTGGGGAGATATTGGATAAGAATGCAACCAAAACAGACGAATTTTTTTCGGCAATTTATCAATTTATGGAGACAAATATCATTTACAGGTTGATGCAGTATGCTAATGTGTCATTTCTGAAAGATGAATTGGTGTATCCTCATCGCGAGCAAGTACTTGAGTATATTGACAAATACGTCAAGAGTATCCCAAAAAAAAATGGCGTTACTTTTTACTTGGATTCCAATGTCAATCTGATTTCGAAAGTCAACAATGCCTGGCAGGTACAAGTTGAAAATGTTGGATCCGATGTGGTTTCTCAACACGAGTACGATGCAGTAATTGTAGCCAATGGACATTTCAACAACCCCTTTATACCTCAAGTTTCGGGTTTAGCTGAATGGAATGAAAAATTGCCAAATACAATTTTGCATTCAAAAAATTTCCAAACTCCCAATGTGTTTAGAAACAAAAACGTATTAGTCATTGGCAACGCGGCTAGTGGTGTAGATATTTCCACCCAAATAAGTACCGTTGCCAACAAAGTTTACGTTTCTGTGCGCGATTTAAGCAAATTGGACTTCAAAAACGATCTTATTGAGTATATTGGATTAATCAACGAATACGATTACAGAAACAGGTTGGTCACGACCATTGACGAAAAGATTGTAAAGGATATAGATGTTATTATTTTTTGCACTGGTTACTTTTACAGTATGCCATTTTTGAAATTGAACTCAAACTTGAACGTTTTGGATGAAGATGGACGGCAGGTGAAAGATCTTTATAAGCAGATTTTCAACATAGATGATCCATCAATATCATTTGTTGCTTTGTTGAAAAATGTTGTTCCCATGCCGATTGCAGAATCACAATCTGCATTAATTGCTAGATACTACAGTGGAAGATACGAGTTGCCCAGTGCAAAAGAACGCCAGATAGCTTACAAAGAAGAGATAAAGAAAAAGGGACTGGGATCTAGCTTTCATGATTTTCTGTATCCTTTAGACGTGGAATATCGGCAACATTTGCAAGAATTGATTGATGAAAAAAATATAAGGGACCCAGGACTTGTAGCACCAATATGGGATGCAAGTCTTATTAAAGATAGACTGGAAACCAAAAGTTGCAAATCCAAAAGATTGCATCAGGTAGTTGAACACGTCAAGAGATTAAGATCTGAGGGTAAGGATTTTGAATTACCACAATGAAAAAAAAGGAACAAGGAAAAAGGAAAAAGATAAAAGGAACAAGGAAAAAGGAAAAAGATAAAAGGAAAAAGGAAAAAGGAAAAAGATAAAAGGAAAAAGGAAAAAGATAAAAGCGTTTGCCATTATAGAAAGTAGTACAGTTTAGAAATAGTGAGAGTAGAAGAACAATGTATATACGATAGAGTTATAGAGTATAGAAAAGCCATTTCAGCAACTTTCAAGTACATTTTACAACCAATCATACAATCATTTATACAGTCATTTATACAGTGATTTGTACAGCTGAATTTTACAACCACTTTTACAACCACCTGTATATAGTCAATTTTACAACCAATTTTTTTACAACCAATTTTTTTACAACCAACTTTTACAACCAACTTTTACAACCAACTTTTACAACCAACTACACTTCTTTCTCTTATAACAATTCTTCTCTGGTACTTCCTCTACTCATCACCCTCTCTTATTGCTGCTATATTGTAAAGTCTCCAAATGCAAACTCAATTGACCCAACAGAAAGTAACAACTAAACAATCTCAACTGTTGGTACACGAACTCATCAGTGTATCCATTTACTGCATCACCTTTTTGAGAAACTTGTTTGAGGAATACAACTACATTGATTCAAAATATTACAATGAGGCAAATCCCAAACCAAATGCAAATTATATCAGAACAAAGAAGTTGAAATTGGGGGTTGACTCGCAAGCTGACTTGTTCATCAAATGTATTGAAAACGGTATCAAAGAGTCAATTGAGAAGGAGTATTTGAAAGCGATACAGATATCTATTTACTTGTCCAAAGATTGCCCTCACCAAGTGGTTGAAAGCTACGTTTTTGGCATTGACTATGATACAAATTCTGTCTCGCTTTCTGGAGGTAATTGCAAGGAAACATTTACAGAAGATTGCCATAGTTATGATTCAGTTATCGCTCAGATGCAAAGTATGCTAAGAAAATTGATAGTAATGAGTCAGTCTTTTGATTTTTTGCCAAATGAAAAGCACCTCTCAATTAAACTATTATTCAACAATTCGTGTCCCGAGAGCTATCAGCCAAGTTACTTCAAAGATGCTTCAGACTTGTCTCCTTCGACACTTAAAGTTGATACGGAGAACCGATTGAGTGATCTCGGACGGGTAAACACAGGCAAAAACCAAGTGAAATTAAACGTATTTGTTGAAGACAAAACTACAACGACTGATACAACTGTTGTTGATCCATTTGACTATTTTGATGACACCTTAGTGGATCCCTTGCATCAAGATATACCTGCCTCCTCGTTACATTTGGATACGTTTCTAAAAACAAATGAACCCGATCCTGAATTGGGAGTTACTCAGTCCTTGGGGGCTTTCGCTACTAATGAGCGTTGTTGTGCTTGTATAAAGTGTCAGCAGTTGTTAAATCCAATTGAATATGGCTATAACCAACCTTTCAAAAGAAGCTTCTCATGCTTCAAGTGTATGTTTGGCCAATTGGATTTTGACGTTTTGCTTTTAATGAAAATCAGAAAACTTTGGAATTACCTTTTAAAAAATAAATTCCCCGATGCTGCAGAGTTTTTGAAAGTCACTGACTTGAGTATCGAAAATGAGGACTTTATTGCAAGCATCTTCAACCATTTATTTGAACAAAATGTGTTATTGGTAACAAATAAGGCAATGTTCGAACCCAATGCTATTGAATTTCTTGCAGGTTCAGGAGAATTCCGTCCGTTTGTTCATGGCCTTGCTGACAGCACCGGAAAGCCATTACTCAATGGTCAACTGTACTTTGTGAGTTTTGTTCCTAGCTTATGTCAACATTTTCCATACATGTCCTATAACAAAGCAGTCGATTCAATATACTTCCCAAACTTGCAATTACCAAGAGCTAACTTTGTATCTGCAAATATACGGAAATTCAAGCAATTGAAAAACAAAAGCCAAGTGGCAAAGGTTCCTATTCCTAGTGCTCCAAAGACTATGATTGCCGATTCACAAGCATCCCTTGAAGGAGTTATTACTCGCTCTAAAGTAGAGTTGAAGAAAGTTGTACATGGTATGGAAAACGTAACTTTAAATAACCAATCCGCCACTACCTTGACATCACAAAGAAGCCATACAGGTATGAAAAGGTCTGCGTCACCAGAATTGTCCATCGATAGTTTATCGTTTGCAGATTCACTAGTATTCTTATCTCAGCATCTGCAACAAAAAGGCAATTGCACTGCTCAGGAGATGATAGATAGTTGGGCAGTTCCAAAAAAGCTGGTTGAAATAACTGATGCAATTGCCAAAAGAAAAAAGAGAAAAATAAGTATAAACCAGTGAATGTATACAAACATATTGCACTTTCTTTGGAAGGAAAGCAGGAGCAGAGGGACGAAGGTGTGGTCTGGAGGAAAATTAAAGGGTATTTGGAAGTTGTTGTTTTTTTTTTCTTTTCTTTTCTTTTTTTTTGAAAAAAAAAGCTAAAAAGAACAATTTCAGCTACAACCAAACCCATGTTGTAAGTATTTCAATCAAGAACAACTTACGTGCAAAGAAAGGAAAACAAAAAATAAAAATATGTCAAACGGAGTTGAATGAGCTGTGTTATATTGTGATATATTGTAATATATTGTAATATATTGTAATATATTGTGTTATATTGTGTTATATTGTGTTATATTATGTTGATTTTGCTTTCTTATTTGTGTGTTAGTTTTGGTTCGTAAGTGTTACCCTACTTAGGAATTGATCTTTAAAAATAGTTACTAAAGAGGGGTTAAAGAGAATTAAGTAAAGGTGAAAATTTACTAACTTTTCAGTTTTCCTTTTTTTTCTCCTTAACTAAAGCTGATTTCATCGAATAGGTACTAAGATACGATTGGAAAGGAAAAACTGAATTATATAAAAATATAATAAAAAAAAAAAAAAAAAAAAACAGAAGAGAAGGCCATATTCTTTGAGTAAAATGGCGATGAGGAAGTCAAATACGAAAAGAAGGAGGCATACCAATTCCAAATTAGGATGTTTGAATTGCAAGAATAGGAAGATTAGGTGTGACGAGCATATTCCGCAATGTAAAAATTGTCTTAAAGCCAAAAAAGATTCATGTTCGTATCTCCTGCTATCAAGTGATGAGCTTGAAAAAATGAGGTTAACACATTCGTTGAGGAATAGTCAGAACAAATTGTTGCAATCGAATTATCGGCTACCTGCCACGTCTTCAGGGTCCGCTTGGAAGTATATACTGCCGGAGTCCAAAGAAAGCTCACCCTTCATGATGACGACTACAACAAAGTTGTCTGCAAATATATTGGAATTCAAATTTGAGTTGGCCAATCTTCCAATTCAGATACCGAGTATTCGGTACCCGCCTTTGCAGTATAATAACTTGTCAATGCAAGACTTTACAGGGGAGTTTAAGGTGATGAATGATTTTTTGCAAGGTAGTGATATGGAAGATGAATCAGATGATCAAAATTCGGGCAAAAAATCAGTATTATTACCTCAAGGATTCGAATATAGAGCAACATTCAAATGTCATCGCCGTAACATATTTACAAAAGTCAATAAGCAGGTTGCGGAAACACAACTAGTTACTGATTTCAGCCACTATATTGTAGCTGGTGAAACTGTTCTTTTGCATTTTATGAGTGATTTGCTTCTCAAGAGGCATTCCGATAGTGTCTTGAACGGTGGCTTGCAGTGTTTGGGTGAAGCTCTCATATCCAATCTTTTCTGCCAGCAGTGTCCTTCTCAGCTGTCCTCGTTTCTCAAATCGCTTGATAAAAGGGTTTTGGAAATATATGAAAGGATTCAAAAAGCTGTGAATGAACGTTTACAGTCGATTCAACAGGAAAACTACAAACAGCCACTTGATAATGCAGCTGAAGATGTAGAACTGGTGGCTTACACCGGTCATTTGTTATCGTTTAGTATCTTGATGATTAATGGTTGTGGTGTTGAAGCTTACTTCAATGTACAGAAAAGCATCAAGCTTGCATTTGAGCTTCATGTAAATCTAATTGAGAAAACTTTAATGCGGCCGCAACCGATCATTACTTTTCTTCAAAGCAATCTACACCATAATATTCTCAATATCAATATTGCATCGTACTATCCACAATTTTTGTTTGAGATTGAGTCTAATTTAAGAAGCTTAGAGTTTATCTTTAATGCATCAGCATCGATATCCGATGTTGGAGAAGTTAAACAAAAGTTTTTGAATTTGCAATCACAATATCTCAGGTTGATGAAATTTCTTAGAGAAAAAGTATTGACTATTGTGTTTTCAATGAGAAACGAACAACTTGTCACGACTTATCCGCTAAATGAAATATATAAAGTCTTTAAAGAATGGCATAGATTGTGTCCGTCTTATGCAATGGCATATAGTCCCAAAAGTCCTAAAAGCAACTCACGCTACTATGATGAATTTGAATTTCTCGAAAATTTGTCAACTACCTTGTATATATATTATTATGCCATTGCTGTGTCGCTAGATGCAATATTCCCAGCATGTAAATATCTATTCAACTTGGGTTTCATTTTGCCAACAACCGGGAAATTGAAAGAAAAGGATATCCTTACCGTGTCAAAATATAATCGATTTTCCAAAACGTATTTCAATCAAAGAATTGATGGAATGTTGCAAAGACATATATGTTATGCATCTAGAGTATTTGCATTTTTCAAAAGGCGGTTTATTTTTTACAACAACCATACACTGTGGTCTAATTATTATGATAATATAACTCTGGCTAACAGGTTTGATACCCGGAAAATCACAAATGTGAAAGAAGTCCCAATACATAGTTTCAGTACTACTTTAATACGACCTGAACATTACCCTACAAGAGAAAGTTTAGCTGAACAGCTGAAACCATCGTTTATTAGCTTCAATCGGGAAGACTATTTGATGGCTAAAAATTCATATGGTAGAAATATTGAAACTTTAGACATTTTCAATGAGTCTGTGTTGCTTCAATGTGATTATGATTCCATGTTATTATTAAAGGATTATCGTCCTTTGGACGATTGCCTTAGAAATACCCGGGGTTTGTTGGAGCTTACAGATATAAGAGATTACTATGAGGATAAGTACTTGATTATGAGTACTTTAACAAATGTATAGAAAAAGTTAAAAGAGAGAGAGCGAGAGGGAAAAAAAAAATAGAGGTGAGATGAGATGAAAATTGTTGATACCGTTTACTCTTTTATATATTTACTTTCTTTATAGGTTCTAAGCCCAAATGTCTACGATTATTGTACCGGGAGATAAGCTTGCTATAGAAGGGTCATCATTATCCAATACCAAAATTGGACCAGGGATATACAAAATCCCCAAATCGCAGGATCTCATACCTTCCACTGCAGGTATACTACATGTACAAAATCAATCAAATAGTAACAACAAGAAGGGTACTCAACTAGTCTATATAGAATCCAACACCAAACGATATATTCCGCAGAATAATGACTTTATTATTGGAACAATTGTTGGCTCTATTGGCGAGTATTACAAAGTACAACTCCAGCCGTTTTCTTCGCCTGTGTTATTATCGTTTATGGCATTCCCCAATGCTACAAAGAAAAACAGGCCCAATTTGAAGAATGGACAAAGTGTTTATGCCAGAGTTGTTAACGACGATAATGATGCGACTTTTGAAACTGAATTAGAGTGTTTTGACTCTGGGAATGCTAGGGAGTCAGGAGGATTTGGTGTGTTGGATGACTTGGGGTTGGTCTTTGATTTGAGCTTGAATTTTGCTAGAGAGTTGCTATATAATGCTCAGCTGTTGGTATTGCGACATTTGGCGAGCCGGGTGCAGTTTGAAATTGCTGTGGGGATAAATGGGAGAATATGGCTCAAATGTGGTGATGGTTTAGCAAGTAGAAATCCAAGAAAAGATGACGGCGATGGCGATGTAAAAATGAAGAGTGGGAATACGGAAAGTGGTATGAGCGGTCATAATAATAATAATAACGATGATGATGATGAGTTTAGCTTTAGAAGTAAGAATTTGAAGAATTTGAAGGATACTTTAGCCGCTATTGATTATTTAAAGAGATGCGAGAAAGTCAGTCCCGACCAATTTCAAAATGAGTTGAAAATGGCATTCAAAGGTGTATAGATTGTGGAGGAAGGAAAAATGCACACGTTTGGTTGAAAAATAGAACTCTTCTAGTCATCGCGAAGTTCTTTTTCCCCAGAGTATTTTTCGTTTCTTTTCTTTAATTTTTCAACTTTATTTGGCCAACCTTTAACCTCTAGCCTCCCCTCCCCCCTCTTCAAGGTGTATTGGAATGACTAGAGAAAATACAGTTTCGTCGTCGGACAAAGTCCAACGCTTTCGACCGTTTAAACAAGCTGAAAAGGATAAACGAAAAAAAAAATACGATGACCTTCAAGTTCAGGGCACCAATAACTCTTCTATAGTTTCCAAACGAAGTGTTGAAAAACTATATTTTCCAGAGATTCAACCTGAATTGGGTTCTTGGTTTGGATGTTTTGTTAAAGATGGGAAGAAATGGAAAAGACGATCACCTGCAATAAACAGAGGGTACTGGATTCGAATGGAGAGTATCCGGAGTGTTCTTGAGAAAATACTAAATTTAAATCCGAACAAGCGTGTGAACATTGTGAATTTGGGCTGTGGGTTTGATCCCTTACCTTTCCAAATGTTGAGTAGTTGTTGTTGTTGTTGTGGTGGTGGTGGTGGTGGCAATAGAGGTAGTGGCAAGTGTACTAGGGATATGGATTTGAATTTTGTCGATATTGATTATCTTGAATTGGTGGAGGAAAAATGCAAGTTGATTAGAGAATCTCATGAGATTATGAGCTTGATTGGTACTTTTAGCAACTCAAAAGACTTCAAAATATACACGGAAAGGTACAAATTGATTGGGTGTGATTTGAACGATTTGAAACATTATCAAAAGGTGAGCTCAGTTGTATGCACAAGTAAAGACGAGGTTAACGTTTTTATTGCTGAAGTTTCTCTAGCTTATATGAAACCTGAATTTGCCAATTCCGTGATTGGAATAAGTTCTCAAGCACCAAATAGCCATTTCATATTATTGGAGCAGATCATGCCTGATGGTCCACACAATGCGTTTGCTACCAAAATGCTATACCATTTTCAACACTTGAGGTGCCCTATTCAGTGTGTTGAATCGTATCCTACAAAGCACAAACAGGTGGAGAGATTTCGAAAAATGTACCGATATGCTGAAGTAAAGAATCTTTTTGAGAATTGGCACAGTTTAGTTTCCAATGAAATGAAGCTGAAAATTATGGAGATTGAGGAATTTGATGAATGGGAAGAATTTATTTTGTTTTGTCAGCATTATGTTTTGGTGCACTCTACTAATGTTGGAGGTCAATTGGTTTACGAAAGGGATAGTATTGATGACGATTTGATTTACAAAGAATTTGAAGTTGATGAAGGTGTGAGCTTTCACCTTGATGATAGATTCAATAAGGATTTGTTGCAATTAAAGTTCCCAGCTGTAGCAGATTTAGAGGGCAAGATATATATCAATGGAGGATTGGGACAAAAAAGAAGTGGTGAAACATTAGAAGTGAACTATGACACTGGGACGATTACTTTGGTTTCTCCAAAAGATGTGGCTACTGATACTACTACTTGTACACCATCAGCAAGAGTTTGTCATAGTTTAACCGGTATCAATAATGATGAGTTGATTTTAATTGGTGGAAGAACAAAACCTGGTGATTTCAAGGATGATATATATAGTTTCAATAAAAAGCGATGGGAGAAAGCTGGTCATTTAGATATGCCGCGTTCACGGCATGCTGTTGTTAAGATAAATGATTGCCGGTTATTGATATGTGGAGGGTTAAAAAATGGAAATATTGGGAACAAGTTTGTTATATTTGATGCCAAGAGCAGGAAAATAAGTGCTGTGAATATAAGAGGTGTTGAAGTGGACAATTTGATGAGTAGTACAATGACCTTTGACGAAGCGAGCCAAACTGGTTACCTATATGGTGGGATAATTGACAGTTTTGTGCCTCGAGTGAATGACAAATTGTATAAATGGAGAATCATTCAACAAGATACTGGAGAGGTGGCTATTTATATTGAAAAGGTCTTTGAAAGTGTCTTTTTATCAAGAATTGGAAGTAGAGCAACCATAATAAAAGATCCTGTTTGTCAAGAGCTAAACAAATTACTAATTGTTGGTGGTGTTTCTCCCAGTACGATTTTTACAAACTCTTCAAATATAATGACATTGAACTTGACCAATTTCGAGTTAAAGAGCGTAAAAATAGGAACCACGTCGCAGCCTCCTATCTTTATTGGTTTTGGATACGTTGAACTTGACAAAAAGGAAGGAAATGAGAAACAAAGAAGCAAGAGGAGGAGGAGGAGTAGCTTGATAATCAGTGGTGGCGCTGTTTGTTATTCATTTGGTAGCTGTTATAATCTGGTATATAGAATTGAATACTAAGAGTTGCGAAAAAAAAAAAATGTTGCACTTAGTAATTGTAGTGTCTTGCACAAAAGGACTAAACTTTTTTATTATTTATTTATTATTATATAGAGTTCGTAAATATATCTTAATTAAGATTTACTTAACAGTAGGTTGTGTCCAGACCAATTACAAGTGCATTCTCCGCCATATTCCGATTTTTTTTCTTTTATTCTCCGCCTTTTTCCGCTTACTAAGATTGACCATTAAACACTATCGAGCAGAGCGAGATAGTGTTGTAACAAGCTACTGAGCTTTATTTCATCAAATCGACACTATCGAGCAGAGCGAGATAGTGGAGCACACCGACTACACCGATACTTTGAACATAACGTCGCGGTTACGAGTTAAGTACGAGGTATGTACGGTATGCTAGTTAACAACGAGGTAGGTGCATTATTGTATGTTAGTTAACAACGAGGGTGCATCATTGTATGTTAGTTAACAACGAGGGTGCATTATTGTATGTTAGTCAACAACGAGGGTGCATTATTGTATGTTAGTTATGAGCAGATTTCTTGCATTATAGTATACTAGTTATGAAAAGATTTCTTGCATGGTCCATCCTGTTTTTAGATTGCAAAGCAAGATACAAAAAGCTAAACTAGTAAATGAAAAAAAGCAAACAGGCATAACAACACTATTGACCAGAGCGAGATAGTGTTGTATCAAGCTAGTAAGAGTGACTTGAAAAGTTTCTCGCTTTTTTCAAGTTCATTGGCTCTAAATAATGTATCGACACTATCGTCACTATCGTCACTATCGACACTATCGAGCAGAGCGAGATAGTGGATCATACTGACCGACACTATCGACACATCGACACTATCGAGCAGAGCGAGATAGTGGATCATACTGACCGACACTATCGACACATCGACACTATCTCGCTCTGCTCGATAGTGGAGCATACTGACTGACACTATCGAGTGGAGCACACTGACTACAGCAACACTATCTCTCTCTGCTCGATAGTGTCGATAGTGTCGATAGTGTCGATTCGTCTACTCGTAAGTAATCCATCTAAACAAAATTATTCAAATGTTTTAAATAAATAACATCTAGATAATCAAATAAGGCACAAATTTTTTTTCTTCAATTAAGAGTTTAAAAAGCAAAATTTCTATAGGATGTAGTTAAAAGGATAGTAAATTTTATAGGATGTAGTTAAAAGGATAGTAAATTTTATAGGATATAGTTAAAAGGATGGTAAATTTTATAGGATGTGGCAGCTAGTCAGTGTCATAGTGTTGGTCAATGTTGCTCCACTATCTCGCTCTGCTCGATAGTGTCGGGATAGTGAAATTTCTATGGATGATGTAGTGGATTCTTTGAGAATGACTCTTGAGTCTGATTTTTGAACTATCTTTAATATCACGGAATTTAGTCTTAATATTATGGAATTTAGTCTTTTTGTTGTATTACGGAATTTAGTCATACAACAAGCTACTAGACGCTATTGAGCAAAGCGAGATAATGTCGAAAATAAGCCTTGATTACCATTTCTTTTTCTTTTCCGAATTAGCTACACTATCGATACTATCGACACTATCGAGCAGAGCGAGATAGTGGAGCACACTGACTACACCTATACTATCGATAGTGGAGCATACTAGCTGTCACCAACACTATCTCGCTCTGCTCGATAGTGTTGAAGGTTCTGCTCTAGTGTCGGTTAAATTATAGTTCATGCAACATGATGTACGTATTAACCACTAGAGTAATAAAACTTTTTGTTATATTATATTATCGAATATTTATTATACTGTGTATTGACAGATAAGTAGTCATTTACCACGAGTATATGGCACGCCCAATTTTATTAGCATAATTTAGGTTGAATTGTAATCCACCTAGCTTTCCTTTCCCCCCCCCCC